GGTAGTGGAAAATCAGAGTACCCGAAGAAAAAAACACCAACCTGTGGTCAGTACGTACCCGGCAACTCCCCGAAGTAGGCATCGAACCCGCGACCCAGTGGTGGAATGATAACTAGTGATTGAAGACGGTCAGACACGTAACCACCCAAGAATGTTGAATAATGAAACCTGTTTTGTGCTCTACATTGGACATTCTTAATCGAATGCTTCCAAATGTTGTTTTTATAAATTATAGTACCAGACCTAATAAGAATATTAATTCAATAACGGGTTTAACTTTTTAGTCAGTTTACAATTATTAGTATGTCTATTATTGTATTGCATCGTTCTCCGCATTAATACCATGATTACCTTCATTTTGATTTCACAAATATGTATAAATCGAACGTTAGTCACCTTTTCACAAACGCATTGACAGCGTTTTTTCGTCAGAGCGTATTAAGCATTTATCATTTCAGATTTCTCCGGATGCTAACATAGTAGCAAAGATTTTTTGCCTTTTCGTGGCTGAAAATATATTGTTTTTATAAATGCTAAATATAAATATATTGAATATTGCAACGTTTGACAGGCCATACATATATTTGCAATAATTGAATACAAATATAAAACATTGCACATATATTTACAATTGCTGAATACAAATATAAAATTTCGAACAAAAATATAAAATTATTGAATATTATAACGTTTGACACGCCCTAGATCTGAAGTTAATTCTCTAAAATATTAAATTAAATATCGTGTCGTCCGGTTGGAAAAGTTTACCATTTATTTATCATGCAAAGGGTTCTAACAAGGGTCCCGGGTGGACACGTACAGCATGCTGTACTTAATTGTCTTGCAACTATTCTCCTATCAGTGCGACTACAAGAAGGCTTCTATCAAAGATTAAAACCTTAGAGAAATTCACTATTTTGCGAGTTAATGAATCAGCAAACTAAACGCTTTTATATAATCACAGTACATGTATATATGGTATCCGAGCACCCAACTTTATACAAAATATCTTTCCATTGATATCCACGACTTTGAATAGCTACAACACCGTCGATATCCCATCTATGGACTGATTTTTGCAGAAAAGCTAAATTTTCCGGGAAAAAAATCATAAATGTCTCCCTGGTTAGTATAACTGTGTTATTTGCACATACCGCCGCAGTCATAAAGCCTCCTTGCACTTCTGTTATATTTGAACATATGCCTTGTTTTAAATGTTGTTAGAAAAAAATACATGAGAGGATAAGCTATTGGCTTGTACTGTATCTGTAGGATTTCCTCAGTATTCCTCATTGTTTGAACTGTTCCGCATAAACGTTCTCATAATGTAGCAGCCAAAGAGTAGGGGGGAGGTACTGTCGTGCTGGCTAGCTAGCGTTCCCAGCTATTTGGGTGCCAGTCCGCACGTTACGGTAACTACTGATAACCAGAAGTTGAGTGTGAAAGCAGTCGGAGGCTTTAGTTCAGTTGAAATAGAAATTAATTTGTTGTCATCTAAAGCCCCGTGTCACTCAACAAGGGTAGACTGAAGAAAAGGATTAATAGATTGGCACTGAAACAGACGTTAGATTGCTCGCTGATGGCCTTGTGAAAACCACAAGTGGTACACTATAAGGTGTGTGTGTGTGTGTGTGTGTGTTGGGATATATGCTAGAGTGTTTTCCTTTTATAAACTTTCTTCTTTACCATTTTTTCTCTATCTCCCTCACCTTGTTCATATGCACCGGAAATAAAGTTGGAGGAGAGGGGTGTATTAGAATCGCCTTGTCCGTCCGTCCGTCCGTCCGTCCGTCTGTTTGCGAGGGTTATGACCTTTGCATTTCTATAATTTGTGCTCGAAAAAACTTTTAATAAAGCGCATATCTTCCTTAACTGACTGTTGTGTTATTTTAATTGGCTCAATAAAGTACATCAAACCAGAGACTATGTATTATACGTCTCTGATCAAACATATGTGCATGAAGAAATAAAGGAAGGAAGTAGCAATTCGACTCATGGTTTATTCAGAAGTAATGGCCCTACAAACGTTGTGAGAGTTAATTCTACTTAACGTTTGACAAAATGCAAGTACATCATTTGTAGATGTGCATAAGAAAAGGAATTTTCGGTTCGACAAATATTTTCCTTGAGTTATCTGTATCTGTACGTTGTAGTACCCGGTTCCGGTTTTTTACAACGGGAGAGAGAGAGCAGTTCAGTTTGATTTTTGGTGCGTTATAGCACTCTTAAAGGCCTCCAAATTAGGGGCACATACTACGTCATCTTCCAGGTGGTTCCACTCTATAAATGTACGTACGAAGAATGAGTTTTTGTATTGATCACAGTTGTACTTTGGTACTGTATAAGATTTTGTGTTATTTATAACTGATGCTACCACCACATTATTCGATATATAGTCCGAGAAGTTTCTGGCCTTGATGTTCCTTTTTGGTCTGTTTTTTGTTAGATGTTTAGCTGGAGGTATAGCTGGTATCAACCCCTCAACCACCTTGTACATAAATGTGACCCTCTGTTGTGCTCGCCTGACCTGGAGTGTTGGTAGTTCGAGTTGCTCCAGCATCGTTGTGATACATCCATCTTCCCTGGATCTATAGTCATTTGAGATGAATCTGGCTACCAAGCGCTGTATTCGTTCAAGTTTGTCAGTTTCTATTTTGGTATAAGGGTCCCAAATAATGGCGCCGCATTCAAGGACGGATCGCACTAGGGATATATATGCTGTTTTCTTGCAAGACGATGGGCAGTGTTTTAGGTTTCTTTTGAGAAAGCCAAGGGTCGAACTGGCTCTCCTTGCCATTTTTAGTATGTGGGTCTTCCACTTGAGGTCATCTGAAATTGTTAGCCAAGATAGGGATTATTTTTCACTTGTTCCAAGATATGTCCATTTAGGGTGTAGAATCTGTGACTTTTTTCTTTGGTGTTCATAACATAGCATTTTTTGGTGTTGAATTTCATTCCCCATCGGTTAGCCCATTTTTCCAGGTTGTTTAGGTCGTCCTGTAGTAGTTGGTGGTCACTGTACTGGTTGATTTGTCTGTATATCAAACAGTCGTCGGCGAACAGACGTATAATAGAGGTTACACTTTCTGGTAGGTCATTTATATGGCACAGGAATAATAGTGGCCCGAGCACTGTCCCTTGTGGTACCCCGGAGTCAACGGTTACTTCTCTGGATGTTTCTCCCTCTAGTGCTACTCTCATCTGTCTTTGTGTCAGGAAATTGGAGAGCCAGTTGCGGAGGTTTCCTCTGATGCCGTAGTTATCCAGTTTATGGAGTAATTTTTGGTGGGGAACTGTGTCGAAAGCCTTAGAGAAATCAAGAATTGCTAGATCGACCTGCTTGTTGCTATTGAATGATTTTAGTGACTGCTAGTTGGGTTTCACAAGAAAATCCGGACCGAAATCCATGGTTTAAAGATGTTAATATATTATATTTTTCAAGGTGGTTTAACAGGTGTTTGCAGATAATGTGCTCTAAAAGTTCACAGGGTACTGATGTTAATGATACTGGCCTGTAGTTTTCTGCTGCATGTCGGTCTCCTTTTCTAAATATACAGGAAATATTTGCGCTGAGCCAATCTGATGGTAGTAGTCCTGAATTTAATGAACATTGGAATATTGCAGTTAATCCTCAGGGGCGGGTCCAGGTGAGGGCGTAATGGGCGTACTCCCCCCCCTCCCCCCCCNAATATACATACTCCAAGTCAGGAACCGTTACATTAGTGAATTTCACAATTATTTTATGTTTTTTAGCTAAAAAAAGGTCCAAAAATATTTGATTCTTTCAAATATCCTAGAAACGCCCCTGATCCTGGTGCGATTTGTTGGGCACACTCTTTTAGGATTCTGTTTGGGATGTCATCTGGTCCTGATGCTTTGGCTGGGTTGACTTTTCGAAGTAGTTTTGTTACCCCCTCTATACCAATGGTTATGCACCCCTTTCTCAACCACAAATGAGTTTAAGTCGTAGGTTTTCTTTCTTTGATATGTTTATTCCATAGACGAGAGCCTGCAACACGAATAACGCATTGCAGGTAATCACATACAATGTATAAATGAGAAATGGAATACATATGAAATAGACATTGTGAAATATGAGTAATGATATCTACAATGACTTACCAGGAGACAGCAGGGATCAGTGAAGGGTAATACATGTTGTCTTGACGTTTAGACTTTATATATTTCCAGAATGGTTTGTTGTTTTTGTTCTCCAGCCCTTCTATGATGGTTTGATTTATATATTTCCATTCTGCTTTCCTTATTTGGCGTTTGCATTCTTTTTGTATGTTTCTGTAGTTTTCCCACTTCCCAGTTTTCTTAGCCTTGGTGTATAGGCGCTGTTTCCTTTTCAAGATCTTCTTTATTGAGTGGTTAATCCATTGTTACTGTTTCTCCCGCTCATTTGTTTAGATGGGATGAATTTATCAATGTTTCTGGTGAGTTCATTTTTGAATATATCCCAGAGTTCTTGTATGTGGGTACCTTCATTGAATAGGTCTTGGATTCTGTGCGACAGTTTTCCAGTTCTTTTTGCAGGTTGGTCTTGTCAGCTTTCCCATATATGTATCTTTTTCGTGGTTTTTGATGTTGGTAGTGAGGTTTTGTGTCCGAGTCAGTGACAACATGCAGTTATGTCCCTTGAACACTTTAAATCGTGTAAGCGCTGAACCTCCTAAAATGTTAGTGTTTTTTTTGTAATTTTGCACATTGAAAGAACATGATACGATGATCACTAAGTTTTTTCAGCTTTAAAGTAGGCCAATATAAACATTAAGACATCAAAAAATGTAGCTTAAAAGAAAGCCGGATAAAACTTTCGGTATCCGTTTTGTAATTAGTCTTCACGAAAAGAAATTCGTACGATAAAATGCAAAAAAAATACGAGTTTAATCTCTGAAATTAATTAAGAATACATGTAAATCTTAAATGAATTCTATTCTCCTTAACACCCAGTAATATCAGTATAAATCATTTACTTCATGTCAGCAGTCCCGCAGTAAAGAAGACTATGGCCGCTAGTGCGGGAACACAAATTTTGAAATACGCTGTACACAAGTGGTCGAGTTTCTCATACAACTATGTACCAGAGTAAGATTTTGTTGCTGACAGACTCTATCGAAATTATTGTTTTCTTATTCTGTTGTAGCTCCATTCTGTCTAAGATATGTATTGAAAATAATTCTACAAACCAACTAGATATTCTAAAAAAAAATCAGCATTTTGCGTCATTGATTGAGGAATATCACCAACAGCAGTACTAGCCAAGTGACTTTTTCTCAATGACCTGTGATATAGAGAGAAAACAAACTCGCACAATAAGCATGATTTTAAGAAAACAAAGTGATGTTTGCATTGATATTGATAATTTGGCTAATTTAACTACTAGGCCTACAGTGATTCTTTAAAGGCGGTCGCCTTTAAAGAATCACTGTACTGTAGGCCTAGTAGTTAAATAGTTGTTTAAAAAACTTTCTAAATACAATATCTGTTTTGTGTCATTTCAGGAATGTTTACGTAGACAGCCCAAGTGATCAATCGTCCCGATGGTCGTCCGATTCTAACCACCCACCACAGGTAAATGTATATATAGTTATGAAAAAAAGTGTTCAGACATCGTTTGTGGCATAGCCCGACTTTCCTCTGGCCCTAACAGCAGACTTATACATTTTGACATATAGATGTCGGGTGTGGGGCCAGAGTGCACTACTATATATTTGAAAACGTGGAATTCTCCTACACCATTTGGTATCGGAGAGTTATGAGGTGCTGACAACAAAATCTACTACTCTGCATTAAAGCCATTTTGGTCTCTGCAGAGTATAACATATAGATAGATAGACTATGACAACACATACCTCACATATATCTATAAATGGAATATTCATCAACAGCTGCTGCTAAATTCAGTCAGTAGAGTCCTCGATTTTCAAACGTTCAAAAGTTTTCCACCTGAACGAATGCCTTTTTTGTAGGTCATGGGGTGACTTATCAACAAACCGCACTAATACGGACCGAAAGCGGAATATATTATTGTTGTTTAGAAGATTTCCGAACCCTGTCTTTTTGTTGATTAGTCACTCCCCGATACTAAACGGTGTAGGAGAATTCCACGTTTTCATATAGCAGTGCGCTCTGGCCCCACACCAGACATCTATGTGTCAAAATGTCTAAGTCTTGTGTTAGCTTTAGCACCAAAGTAAACTCGAGCTTTTTGTGGCAGTGGTGGCATTTTATGCACAGATACACAGATTTTATTCTGACTATAGGAATGTTTACATTTCCTCTGCCCTCAGCTGTGTTATGATAATAAAATTTTAACCTACATTTGTCAGATTGGGCACAACGGCTAATATGGGTAATAAGTCTACATTTTGGTAACAGTTACCCATTTGAGTTAATTGACAAAAAGATTGATAAACATTTCTAGTTATTTTCTTAAACATTGATTATTTTGTTGCGGTATAATTGACTCTGAATTAATTCTAATTCATTTATGTCCTTTTTACTAAATATGGAAGTTGATTTTGTGATGTGCATAGTATGTCCAACAACAGATTTTTAACACATTGTGTTTAATAATTGTTTTTCAGTTCTTGACGTTAAAACTAGAGAGACCTTCTGTTGTAAAATCTATTACCTTTGGTAAATATGAAAAGACGCATGTGTGTAATTTAAAGAAGTTCAAGGTGTTTGGTGGCCTGACTGACGATCATGTGGTGGAGCTATTGGAGAGGTAAGTTTCACATGTTTATCACAGATGGTAAGAGTGATGTACATAATTTTCATACAACTCACTGGAATAGCATATGATAATAGTTCTTGATATGTTTGGTTGTAATTATACAGAGCTGGCAACTTTTTCGATTTAGGCGTAAATATTACGATTTCGATATATCTGAATTATGCCTGTGCAAAAAAATGATTTTTTTCTGTTTTGTTTGTTAGCTTTGCTGTAATCCAGTAACTAGGTTTGTTTTGATTATTGTAATAAAAAATGTTGTGATCAAGGCAATTTTTATTAACAGCAAGTTTTACCATTAACTCATCTTTCAGATATACTTTTATGAAATAAAATGTGACACTTTGCCTTTTCAGTGGCTTGAAGAACGATCACTTGTCTGAGCAGTTCCTTCTAAAATGTGAAATTGAAGACCATTATTTCCCCTGCAGATTTATCAAAATAGGTAAATATTCCAAATAAAATCAAGTTCATGTAAATACTACAAAGAGAACTATCATTTTTTGGTCACCTGAGCTTTAGCTCAAGTGACCTATTGCTGTCCCTCGTCGTCTGTTAACATTTTCAATTTAAGCTGTAATACTGTCAAAGAGATTTCAATGATTCTTTATTGGAATGTTACTGACATCTCACTGACCAAGTGTTGTTATTTTTTGGGTCGATCAGAAATCCAATATGGCCACCATTTTGAAAAACTATTTCAAACTTAAAGTAAAGTTCTACTGGGCCGATATAACTGAAACTTGATTGACTCATGGTCCTGACAAAGTGTTGTTATTTGGGTCGATCAGAAATCCAATATGGCCGCCACGGCCACTATTTTGAAAATAACTATTTCAAACTTCAAAGTCCTGTTCTACTTGGCCAATTGAACTGAAACTTGGTAGGAATGGGCCATTTAATTGAAACTCAGTCTAGGAATGATCAACTCATGGTCATGACAAACTTAACTTAACGTTATACTTAACTATTTTTTACTCAAATTGGTAGGGATGTTTGACATCATTATTTCCATTTCATATTTCAACAACAACAAAAACAAATACTGTAATACTTGTTCTATTTGGTAAAATGGATGGACTACAAGAGAAACAGTTGCAATCATCAGACTGCAGTATCATGCAATGTCTTCAATTTAAGAAGATTATTAACTAAATCATTGTCAACATTTCTCTTAGATATTTAGTTCATCTGTTAATCAGTCACTGTTCAAGGCAAGAGGTGATTTTTTTAACCTAATACAACATATATAATTCAGTATTTGATAGGAAATTTGAAGATTTAAGCCCATAGTCAAAATGAAAAAAATGTGAATAATCTCAATAATCAAAAACCTTTGTTATACAGGATTTTGGGGTTAGTTCTTGACCCAGAGGCTCAAAGAGTTCTCTGCAAAGAATAGTTTTGCTATGAAAACACTCCTGGTCAGTGCTGGGCTTAATATAATCGAAGGGCTGAAAGCCTGGTTAGACAATGAACTCAGAAATGGTAGTTCTATACATTACACCTATTTGATAATAAGTCCTATCCAGTTTATATATGTGGTAAAACTACATTTGTATTTCATTCTGACTGTACTGTGCACATTGAAAATGTAGAATACTCATTTTTATTTTCCAGAAAATGTAAAAATTGAAGGAATTTAAACACTTTATTTTATACCTTTGATAAAAAGTTGTGTCTGTGTGTTCCTTTACAGTCCCAATACAAGCGTGGGGTCCTAATTTCAACTTTAGTATTTGGTACATCGAGTTACAGGGCACTGACAACTGGGATGTAGTCAAACCCTGTATTAACTGGTTTAATTCTGTAAGTATACTTTTACAGCTATCAACATTGGCGGAGGTCAATCTCAGAAACAGATAACCAGATTATGTTCTGATATTAGTAAGTAAATGTTAATTTGAATGTAGTTATATATCTAAAAAGAAATATCCAAGCCATACAATTTGAACATTAGAAATGAATGTTAAAAGTTTTAATCAAATATGTAAAAAGTTGTGAAAAATAAACAATTACATTTTTTTTTTTTTAATGGAGCATGAGGACTTGTATGTTACTTTGGAAAGGACATTTTCATGACACTTTATAAAAAAAATGACTGAATTTAAGCCTGCAGTTTTTGATATTACTTGATTCAAACTTCTTATTGTGTATTTTAGTATAGAGAAAAAGAAGCAATCCGCTTATGTCTGAAACATTTCCGACAGCGACAATTCATTGAAGCATATGATGCCCTACAAAAAAAGACGAAGGTTGAACTGGAGCATCCCATACTGACAGAGCTCCATGATAAATTGGTGAGGTTTGTGTGTGTAGCAGGTTCATAACATTGTTGAAGGTTGTATTGGAGCATCCCATACTGACAGAGCTCCATGATAAATTGGTGAGGTTTGTGTGTGTAGCAGGTTCGTAACATTGTTGAAGGTTGTATTGAGATTATTTTTGTGAAGGGAAAACAAAATTCTTGCTATTGCACTAAACTTTGGATTGATTTGTTAAAGGAAATGTTTTGTAAGTGAGATTAACAGTACATATAAAATATCATGGGAAGGTTGTAAAGGTTCAGTGACAACTATTTACTCTACCGTCACTTCATCTGACCAGAAAATCTTTAGCTTTCAATGTAGTGAATTTCTTCACACTTACAGACAACACTTTTGAGATATTTTACAGTGAAAAAAATATCATTTTCATCAAGTTTCATCAACAAAATGTGATAAAATGATGACTATTTATCTACAGGTGAAGCAGGGTGACTTTGATAGCTGTGAATCTTTAGTATGGAGAGCATGTCAAGGTACAAACTTTTAACATGGTACAAATAACGGTATGGGTCTACTTTTACCATATGAAGTTCCATACCGTTAAGTAATTTGTTACCTCTGACCAGCACTGTCATATTGCGTAGACTGTGGTAGTCATCCATAAGAATACAATTTATAATGATCTTATTAAAGAAGACTATCGTACATATGATCTAGTATTTTAAGATACAACAGCAAGATATATATTGACTGTAAAATAATCCAAATTTCTGATACTGTGAAATCACTAATTTTTGTGGAGCATTCAGGTTTTGTTTATTTCGTGGGTACTCTACAACATCTACGACATCTACTAATTCATAGGTCCACAAAGTAGTTAAAGTTTGGCATAAAGCTATTCTCTTTATGAGAAGGTCCTCTTAACACGCCAATTTATTTACCCACAAAATTGTCATTTTGTGGGGAAAATACAAAAATTGGGCCCCATCAAAATATAAAGTTTCACAGTATTTTCATTTTTTTACAGAGAAACTGTTTGACCAGTACATAGGTCTGCTAGACTACAAACCAAAATGGACATCGATAGAGCCAATGACCAAGGGTATGGGTTTGTTCATCATCATGATATACTGTGATTATGTTAATATGATTTACTGGGTAAATCCTATCAAAGATTCATTGTCACAGTTTTCACATATACATGTAATGCATGTTCAGTATTTAGCTCATACATTATAGAAAGGAAACTAAGATATATTTTTAGGTCACCTGGGCTTTGCTCAAGTAACCTATTCTAATTGCTTTCCGTCCGTTGTCGTGCGTAAACTTTTTACATTTTCAATTTCTTCTCAAGAACCAGTGGATGGATTTTTTCAAACTTGGTCAGAATCATCCTTGGTATATGAGGCTACAAAATTGTAAAATTGGGATTCCTACCCCAACCCCTGGGGCCAGGGCTGGGCGCCCAAAGGGAAAATTAACCAATATTTCAAAAATCTTCTTCTCCAGACTCAAAGGTACTACAGTGATTTTCTCTGCACGAAAAGAAAGATCATCAGGGGCTTTATTTAAATTGTAAATTTCAGAACCCCCGAGGTATCCGTTCTCCCTTGGGGAGGGGGTAAAGTTTACTATAGTTAATATATGGAAATAACACTTTTGGGTATATTTTGACAACTTTCTGTAGGAAATTATTTTTACTAGGTGAGAATTATCCTTCGAGGAAGATGGTTTCAAATTGTAAAATTGAGATTCCTACCCCAACCCTAGGGGCCAGGGTGGGGCCCCAAAGGGAAAATAAACCAATATTTCAATAATCTCTTCTCCAGACTCAGAGGTACTACGACTCAGAGGTACTACATTCATTTCAGTGCATAAAAAGAAAGATCATCAGGGGCTTTATCTAAATTGTAAATTTCAGGACCCCTGAGCTATCCGTTGTCTTTTGGGAGGGGGTAAAGTTTACTATAGTTTATATAGGGAAATAACCCCTTTTGGGTATATTTTATCCATTTTCAGCAGAAAATTACTCAAACTTAGTCAGAATCATCTTTGGTGAATGAGAGTATTACATTGTAAAATTAGGATCCCTGCCCGATCCCCAGGGGCTAGGGCGGAGCCCCAAAGGGAACATTTACCAATATTTTCAAATTCTTATCCTTTGATGACATCACAAGTATTGTATTTCACTTAGTTTACATGCTGATTTCCACATCACATCTAAACAATGAAATAAAGCTACCAGTACCTATGATATAACCAGCTAAGGCCCTTGGGCCTCTTTGTTAAGATAAGACAAAGAAAATTAAGATTTGTCCATACTGTTATTCACAAGAATAGGATACTGTTGACTCCTGTTTTGCATTTTTGACCAGGTGGGGACTTGGTGACAGAAAACCGGCCAGGGATGAGAGGCGGACACCAGATGTGTGTAGACATCCTTGCAGGTACATTTAATACTAAGGCTACATTCGCGTATCCCGGTTGAAACGGTAAGTGTGTCGCAGAAATTTTCCACAATAAACGAATGCAATTGGACCGTTCTATAAGCAGAGCTAAAATGCATAGTTTTGGAGAATAAAAAAAAAATGTATCAAGAATATTATGTCCTTCTCTCACCCATCCACTGAATTACATAATGTATCTAAAAACTACATGTGGCTTGACAAGAAAGAAATAACGCAAACTGGCAATAGTCAGCATTTTAGTTTCGGCCCCCTCAATCTACACGTGCCGAATTTTCCTGAGGTCAGCCTCGGTTCAGATCTGTACCTGTTGTTTTCTGTACAGGTTCAACCGTTTCAACCGGATACGCGAATGTACCCTAATTAGGGCCCCGTATCGGAGATACGGGTGCCCTATAGTAATCACTCTGTCTGTCTGTCTGTCTGTCCGTCCGTCCACAAATTTAGTTCTTGGCTGATAACTTTGGTATTTATTGACCGATGTACATGAAACTTGGTCAAGATGTTTAGTTCACAAAAATACACATTAAGGTAAAAAGTCAAGGTCAAAGGTCAAGGTCATTAGGTTCAAAGGTCAAGGTCAAAATTTACATCTTTTCACTGATGAACATTTTGTTATGACATTATGAAGCAAAGTTGATCAGAATTAAACAAGGAGTCAACTGACCAAAGGTCAAGGTCATCGGGTCAGGGGTCAAGGTCAAATTGTGTAGCTTTTCACTGGTGAACATTTCGCTATGACATTATGGAGCAAAGTTGTTCGAAATTAAACAAAGAGACACACTGAGGTAAAAAGTCGAGGTCAAAGGACAAGGTCATTAGGTTCAAAGGTCAAGGTCAAATTTTACATCTTTTCACTGATGAACATTTTGTTATGACATTATGAAGCAAAGTTGATCAGAATTAAACAAGGAGTCAACTGACCAAAGGTCAAGGTCATTGGGTCAAAGGTCAAGGTTAAATTTTGTATCTTTTCACTGGTGAACATTTCGCTATGACACTTTGAAGCAATGTAGCTCAGATTAAACAAGGAGTCAATTGACCAAAGGTCAAGGTCACTGGGTCAAAGGTGAAGGTTAAATTTTGTATCTTTTCCTTGATGAACATTTTGTTATGACATTATGAAGCAATGTTGTTCAGAACTTAACACAGAGTCAACTGACCTTAGGTCCAGGTTACGGGTTTCAAAGGGTCAAGGTCAAGTTTTGTATTTTCACTGATGAACATTTTTTTATGATATTAAGGAGCAAAGTTGGTCGGAATTAAAGAATAAGTCAACTGACCAAAGATCAGGGTCACTGGGTTAATGGTCAAGGTCATTTGGGTCCAAAGGTCAAAGACAAAGTGGATCTCTGACTTTGACCCTGGCTCTTGATGGAGGAGGTATATAAGGTTAAATAAAACAAATCAAAGCTAACAAATGAGTATTGCACCGATATTTACATTTCTGTTAGCCCAGCAAATATGGAGGTGGAAGGAAACAAGACTCACATCATAGTACATGTAAAATGTATATTTTGCTTCCTTGCGATTCTTTTTGAAGTCCACATATCAAACGTCAAGCTCAGCTATATAAGCAGATTGCTTCTTGATGATTATGGGGGATATATTGCCACAAGACGGGGCCCTTACTGACCTGTCAGTGTTCTACTTCATCTAGGCATGAGTACCAGGAAATAAGTTTTCAACTGAGTTGTCAGCCAGATAATTATAACTGGGACTGAAATAGTTCCTACCCTCTAACATTAAATACAGTCGAACCTCGTTATCTCGAACTCGTATAACTCGGAGACCCCGTTTAACTCGGAAGTATTTCATCGGTCCCGGCCAAAACTCTTCTAAATCTTAGTAATAAAAACTCTGATAAATCGAACTCTGAAAACTCGAAAAACTTGGATATTCCGAAGTGAAGCATCGGACCGATGTTTCACATCGGGATATCCAACAACATAAATCCTACATAAATCCTACCTCCAAGTTTCTTCAGATTCACAAGTCTATCATATATTCTTTAATTATTTGATACATATTTGACGCAGTGCTACGGTTCTAAATGAGCAGCTTACGCTCGGTCATAATTACTTCGATTAAACTTATGGCATTAAAATGTGTTTGACTGTAAAAATACTTTGTACAAATAAAGAAACAAACTTCATCAATGTTGATTAACAACAATAAGTACTTACTGCGAGCGCGTAAACAATTTGAATGGCACTTTATTTACACCAAAGCTGCAGACACATTCTAACCAGAAAATGGATCACAGTGTGCGGTTATGCGTAAATAAGCTCCACAGTAAAAATCACAACCTAGGCCTGGTTCGTTGGTTTATGTTTTTACAGGAGCTTGTATGGCACTGATAATTAATTGAGAGATTATAGGAACAATACGATAATTATTGTTGACTACATCGTGTTGAGGAGATGTCAAGTGTCATTGGGGTCTATAAATGTGAATGTTTCCTGATTAACTCATACCCATTTCGGAATGTCGAAATCAACTGAGCAATCCAACGTGTACTCTCCAATACAGTGATTTGTATAAAGACTTGCGCAATTGAAATTTCTATCAGCATAGCACGAGGTCAGAGACAGAATGTGTGTTTATTGTAGCATTAATTAATTAATTAATATGATAATGAATAAGTTGTTATTTTTTATTTTATATAGTTATCTTTTTGTCATTTATGGACTGTTTAAATACGTTGATTGTCAGAGAAATCGATGACATATATAGCCTCATATTGGACCAAACACTTTACCAAGCTTTATGCCAACCATAGGAACTCGCTTAACTCAAAAACTTGGATAACTCGAAGTTTCCCAACTATCCCGTCGACTTCGAGATAACGAGGTTTGACTGTACTTCTGTTTCTTAGCAACACTTATTTAAATCAGGTTATCTGTCTGTCTTTCTGAATTGTTCTGGATAGAGCATCCTATAATTTTCATTTGGGTTTTGGAAAAGTTCATAGATGTATTCACAACAATCCAAAGTTGTGCTGTACAGCTTATTGTTATCCCGCTTCTCTGATTTCTATTTCTATTTTCCAAAGTACTGCGACAGATATTTATGAAACTTGTACACTATTCTGGTAGCAGTAGGTAGTTGAATGATTGTGATTTAGCTTTCATTAGGGCACCTGAGACGAGCTTTATCAAAATTGTGAATTTCATTACCCCCGGGCTACACGTTTGTCCCTTGGGAGGGGGTGAAATTTACTATAGTTTATAAAGGAAAATGATACTTTTGTGTATGTTTTGTTCGTTTTCAATTGGAAATAATTCAAACAGGATTTAAATTATAAACCTGAGATGACAGTTTGACCCTATGAAAATTTTGAGCCTTGCCCAACTCAAGAGACTGAGGGGCAGGGCCCAAAAGGGTCAAATTGGCTTAAATTTCATTAATCTAGTTAATTTTAGCCCATCCCCAGGGGTGAACGTGGAGCCCATGGATAACGAAATTCACAATTCTGACCAAGCACCTCAAGATCCTTCCATGTATGAAGAGTATTTGATTCCAGCGTAACTGGTTCTGAAGAAAACTTCATGCTCCTCTTGCTGAGGTGAAATTTACTGGAGCTTCTGTAGGAAAATTAGTTCATTTTCAGTTTGTAATTCAAAACCGGTTGGAATTACATTGTATATATGCATGAGATGATGGTAGATACTATGAACATTTGAAGGGGCTGAAGGGTGGGGCCCAGGTTGAGGAGTTGGAGGTGCAAAAATTTCTCTGACCCAGACATGCTAGAATCAAATACTCTCCAGTTTTAAATCTGCATGCTAGACATTGGGTAATTAAGGCAGTTCTGGGTTTTTTTTTAATATAATCTAATTTTCTGTTTTAAATTAACCTGTGGCTTACAGTTCTAATTCTAATTTTACATAATCTTATTTTGATTGTCAAGATGTTTCATTTTTGTACTTTTACCCAATTGCTTTGATTGGCTGCTATTTATAGAGATGTTGTATCTATTTGGTGGATGGGATGGAAGTCAGGACTTATCAGATCTTTGGGCGTACCATATTCCCTCTCGGACGTGGACCTGCATCTGTAAAAATACCGAAGAGGAGGTAGGATCTTAGACCCAATCTCTGTTTTTAGTTCACCCGATTCCATGTAACAGTGATCTTATGTCAGTGTGTGGTATCTGTCCATCAGAAAAAGGTTCACAGTGAGGTATATTGTGAATGAAACTTCTGCATGATTGCTTGGCATAAATATCCACCGGTTGATTATTTTGATATTGTAGGGAGGTCCCTCAGCAAGGTCGTGTCACAAGATGTGCCTTGATCATGAAAGGAAACAGATATTCATACTGGGGCGATATTTAGACTCGACCGTACGCACATCAGACAACCTAAAGGTATGGTATAATTTTGGACGCTTTTGGAGAACTGCATGTGTATACGACTATATAGTGAAAGTGCTTGTCACCTTGGCCTCCCCTTTGGTACTACTTAATCCCTTACGAAGGGACCATAGTGCAAATAGGCAAATATAAATCGTCAGACACCCTGACAGGAACAAGTTTATGCTTAATGATTAAGGCTATTTCAATCTAATTGGTTGAATTGTTTCCATGCGATAATTGTCCTTAACATAGTTTGATTTACCAAGTTTAGTATGCAGATCCCTATTCTAGAACATACAACATAAGTACTAGAGTAGGTTTACATCCAGTCAAACAAACAGCCTTAACAATGAACCACAGTTTATAACAATATGACTCTCAGTTCTCTCAATATAAACTAAATGGGACCTGTTTAAAGCATTTACTGAAAGTTTCAATGTGTTGCCCTAAATTAATTTGGTTTCTGACTTCTTTACTGATGCGGTTGACATTTTCTGTTTCAGAGTGATTTCTACATGTACGACATAGGGTCAGCCAAGTGGACTATAATTACAGAGGACACTCAAGCGATGGGAGGACCCAAGTTAATCTTTGATCATCAGATGGTCATGGATATTGAAAGGCGCACACTCTTTGTGTTTGGAGGTCGTGTACTCACAAGGTAAATCAGCACTTAAATTTTATCACTGAATTTAAGAAATAAAACAGTGAAATTTTAACATGATGTTCAGTGGTTCTGCTGTGAAATACTTCCTTGACTTCCATCTGGTATCCTGACCTTAAAGAAGTACTATCCTGAATAAAAGTCACTTGTTCTGGCTTCATTCCAAATGCCAGCGAAGCAACATCATCTCGCAAAGCACAGTTCTGACTTTGATATAGGGAATAATTTTACAAATTGATTTCATGTCAAGCATTATTCAGGCCATGATGTAGAGCCTGATCACTATTCGGATTATTATGATGCTATTCAACAACTTCACTCATGTCAGACTTTAATTTGACCCCGATTCATTACCACTTACAGTACAGGTGATAGTGGAGAGCGGAGCAGTGAGCCTGAGTTCAGCGGACTATATGCATACCATGTTCCTACCAACACATGGAAACAAGTGATGACTGATTGTGCAGAGCTTCGGTCACGCATCGGACACTCAATGCTTTTTCATCCAGTGAGTTGTCCTTTATCTAGCTTATTCCAGGGTTCTTATGATCTGTGTGACTACCTGGGTACCTCTAAAATATTTACATTTACACTTGTTCTCCCATCACAACGCGAGGTACAGTATTCCGGGGAGAAATTTTGCTGCAGTTTAATTTTAGCCTTTATTACCCTCTGTAAATTATCTTGACTTTATAGAGTATATAAGTAAACAGCATAATAGACATAGTAATAAAATGTGAAGGGCAAAATTCACTCTGGGCAGAATTTTATTTCATAGGCGAAGGGCGAAAGTTTGACTGAGCGAAAAAATTCCCAGTAGCAGGCTATTAGCCAGCCACCCGTCTGCCTGTCTTTTGGACGGGCATTTTTCTTAAAAAAAGGCCCATTTAGACAGGCAACTTCTGACTATATATCCTTACTATTTTACTTAATTTTCGACAGGCAGTTTTGTCAAAATGGGCTAAATATCAGCGTTTTGGACAGGTAGGTTTGAAATCCTAGCTAAAAGCCTGCCTAGTAGACAGTGTAAACAAGCATAACTTAGCTAGTCTCTTAAAATATAAATATAGGTGATGTATGTTACGCCAATGGTGTTGGGGTATGTATCTCATATCACATCCTGTATGAGAGTAACCTGATTATTTTCATATCATATAAAATTGACAGCATTCTGTTGAAAAACTTCCAAATAATACCTGTGTATTATGACTTTCTTTTAAATCTGTTCAGTATGGTGAATCCTATACTGTGTCATGTTAGGCAAGTTTCACTGTAGATAAAAAATATAGATTTTACAGTTTGTGGTTTTCTTTTTCTCATGTACCTTTTTGTGTAGAATGTTTCCTGTGAGATAACAATCACACGAGAGTGTATGGAATCTGGTCGTAATCTTAAGCTTGTTCACATGTGTACCAATCTACAGCGTTAGAGCCTGTGTTTGAATATTAATTCATTGCTGTTTCATTCCTATTTCAATCTCGGTGATTGAAATACATTCAAGTTATATTAGCATTGTAAGTTTAATTTAAGTCCTGCAGCGATAAAATTGATCTGTTCTGTTTTGTTTTCAGAAAAGGAGAGTGTTGTACGTGTTTGCCGGTCAGAGAGCAAAAGAATATCTAAATGACTTTTTCTCATATAACGTTGATACGGGGCAAATCGAGATGATCGCAGACGGAAGTAAGAAGGAGACAAATTCAGTAGGGGGTATGCACTCTTGTCCTAACCCCCTCAATATTCTCTGGGATGAAATGTCTGCTCATTATCATCCTGCGCTGAAAGAGTTCATCAAAAAAAGTGGTGAGGGAGACGGAGGCATTCTGGCTCGTTGTTGGTGTTTGGAGTTTATAAAGTTTGTTTGTTCTTCAAAAGTTTTCACTTCCATTGTTCGGTTTGAAACTACAAGGTATACTTGTTAAATCCATTCAAAGTTCAAAAAGTCTTCATTATCATAAGATTTTACTGTGTATATAATTTTGGGATATGGCCATGTTTTATATGACGACTCATGTTTTGGTGTTGGTGAAAGTTTTTAGAAACTGTCTATCTCATTTGAAAATTCATTGAATCTTTGCTGCATTTCAATTGAATTTGTTATTCCAGACTCACAAAATAAGTTTTCAAGCACTGTTTGTGTTCCAAACAAACTCAGCATTTATTATTAAAACTAAATGGATCAATCTCATTCAAAATGTTATTCCAAGGTATTGTCAATTAACAGGTATATTGCCATTCAAAAAAGGAACCCTCTTGTGAAAAGTTTAAACTTGTTTTGATATAACTTAAAAAACATTTTTCACCAGGAAAACAGTTTGTAGCACACTTTCTAAATGCTTCGATTTTATTTATATCAAAGTTTTGTTATTCTTATTCCTCTTTTCTCCTGAATATCAAAAATCTGTTGTATTTGTAAAAGGAATCAATGTCACATTCTTACTAGTAGTGTTTGTGAAAGGAATCAATGTCACATTCTTACTAGTAGTGTTTGTAAAAGGAATCAATGTCACATTCTTACTAGTAATGTTTGTTAAAGGAATCAATGTCACATTCTTACTAGTAGCGTTTGTTAAAGGAATCAATGTCACATTCTTACTTGTAGTGTTTGTTAAAGGAATCAATGTCACATTCTTGCTAGTAGTGTTTGTAAAAGGAATCAATGTCACATTCTTACTTGTAGTGTTTGTTAAAGGACTCAATGTCACATTCTTACTAGTAGTGTTTGTAAAAGGAATCAATGTCACATTCTTACTAGTAATGTTTGTTAAAGTAATCAATGTCACATTCTTACTAGTAGTGTTTGTGAAAGGAATCAATGTCACATTCTTACTAGTAGTGGTTGTTAAAGGAATCAATGTCACATTCTTACTAGTAGCGTTTGTTAAAGGAATCAATGTCACATTCTTACTTGTAGTGTTTGTTAAAGGAATCAATGTCACATTCGTACTAGTAGTCTTTGTTAAAGGAAGCAATGTCACATTCTTACTAGTAGTGTTTGTTAAATGAATCAATGTCACATTCTTACTAGTAGTGTTTGTAAAAGGAATCAATGTCACATTCTTACTAGTAATGTTTGTTAAAGGAATCAATGTCACATTCTTACTTGTAGTGTTTGTTAAAGGAATCAATGTCACATTCTTGCTAGTAGTGTTTGTAAAAGGAATCAATGTCACATTCTTACTTGTAGTGTTTGTTAAAGGAATCAATGTCACATTCGTACTAGTAGTCTTTGTTAAAGGAAGCAATGTCACATTCTTACTAGTAGTGTTTGTTAAATGAATCAATGTCACATTCTTACTAGTAGTGTTTGTAAAAGGAATCAATGTCACATTCTTACTTGTAGTGTTTGTTAAAGGACTCAATGTCACATTCTTACTAGTAGTGTTTGTAAAAGGAATCAATGTCACATTCTTACTTGTAGTGTTTGTTAAAGGAATCAATGTCACATTCTTGCTAGTAGTGTTTGTAAAAGGAATCAATGTCACATTCTTACTAGTAGTGGTTGTTAAAGGAATCAATGTCACATTCTTACTAGTAGCGTTTGTTAAAGGAATCAATGTCACATTCTTACTTGTAGTGTTTGTTAAAGGACTCAATGTCACATTCTTACTAGTAGTGTTTGTAAAAGGAATCAATGTCACATTCTTACTAGTAATGTTTGTTAAAGGAATCAATGTCACATTCTTACTTGTAGTGTTTGTTAAAGGACTCAATGTCACATTCTTACTAGTAGTGTTTGTAAAAGGAATCAATGTCACATTCTTACTTGTAGTGTTTGTTAAAGGACTCAATGTCACATTCTTACTAGTAGTGTTTGTAAAAGGAATCAATGTCACATTCTTACTAGTAATGTTTGTTAAAGGAATCAATGTCACATTCTTACTTGTAGTGTTTGTTAAAGGAATCAATGTCACATTCTTACTAGTAGTGTTTGTTAAAAGTTACGTGCTGTGTTGAGTTACAGTTGGTTATCTTTTAATTTTAAAATTTTGAAGTTTCTTGCTCCTTTTAGTTTCATTTAAATTGTAATGAAATATATATAATCTATTTCAATGGATTATAATAATGATACTAGTATATTTAACAGGAAATGTCTTAAAAACCGATACAAGGTAGAGTTTTCATGTTCATGGTCAAAGTCTGATATACATATACATGTATACCTACTGTAGAACATAGATAATACAGTGCTGATCAACAGGAGATCACTCATAATTAATATCATATTTGATAGAAGTGATACATAGGTATTACATCTCCATCTCAGATATTGAGTGGAATGCCATGGAAATGCTTGATGCTGTTCTGAAATCATAATGGAGATGTCATGTTAGATGTGCTGTTAAGTAGGGAATTGTCAAACTTTGTTAGAATTATCATCATGGGATGGCAGTGTGATGGTATGGATATAGAATTATCATCATGGGATGGCAGTGTGATGGTATGGATATAGAATTATTATCATGGGATGGCAGTTTGATGGTATGGATATAGAATTATTATCATGGGATGGCAGTGTGATGGTATGGAAATGAAATTATTATCATGGGATGGCAGTGTGATGGTAAGGAAATAGAATTATTATCGTGGGATGGCAGATTGATGGTAAGGAAATAGAATTATTATCATGGGATGGCAGTGTGATGGTAAGGAAATGATGGTATGGATATAGAATTATCATCATGGGATGGCAGTGTGATGGTATGGATATAGAATTATCATCATGGGATGGCATTGTGATGGTATGGATATAGAATTATTATCATGGGATGGCAGTGTGATAGTAAGGAAATAGAATTATTATCATGGGATGGCAGTGTGATGGTATGGATATAGAATTATCATCATTGGATGGCAGTGTGATGGTATGGATATAGAATTATTATCATGGGATGGCGGTTTGATGGTATGGATATAGAATTATTATCATAGGATGGCAGTTTGATGGTATGGATATAGAATTATTATCATGGGATGGCAGTGTGATGGTATGGAAATAGAATTATTATCATGGGTTGGCAGTGTGATGGTAAGGAAATAGAATTATTATCGTGGGATGGCGGTTTGATGGTATGGAAATAGAAGTATCGTGGGATGGCAGTGTGCTGGTAAGGAAATAGAATTATTATCGTGGGATGGCTGTGTGATGGTATGGAAATGGAATTATTATCATGGGATGGCAGTGTGATGGTATGGATATAGAATTATCATCATGGGATGGCATTGTGATGGTATGGATATAGAATTATTATCATGGGATGGCAGTTTGATAGTATGGATATAGAATTATTATCATGGGATGGCAGTGTGATAGTAAGGAAATAGAATTATTATCATGGGATGGCAGTTTGATGGTATGGATATAGAATTATTATCATAGGATGGCAGTTTGATGGTATGGATATAGAATTATTATCATGGGATGGCGGTTTGATGGTATGGATATAGAATTATTATCATGGGATGGCGGTTTGATGGTATGGATATAGAATTATTATCATGGGATGGCAGTGTGATGGTATGGATATAGAATTATCATCATTGGATGGCAGTGTGATGGTATGGATATAGAATTATTATCATGGGATGGCAGTTTGATAGTATGGATATAGAATTATTATCATGGGATGGCGGTTTGATGGTATGGATATAGAATTATTATCATAGGATGGCAGTTTGATGGTATGGATATAGAATTATTATCATAGGATGGCAGTTTGATGGTATGGATATAGAATTATTATCATAGGATGGCAGTTTGATGGTATGGATATAGAATTATTATCATAGGATGGCAGTTTGATGGTATGGATATAGAATTATTATCATGGGATGGCAGTGTGATGGTATGGAAATGAAATTATTATCATGGGATGGCAGTGTGATGGTAAGGATATAGAATTATTATCATGGGATGGCAGTTTGATGGTATGGATATAGAATTATTATCATGGGATGGCAGTTTGACGGTATGGATATAGAATTATTATCATGGGATGGCAGTTTGATAGTATGGATATAGAATTATTATCATGGGATGGCGGTTTGATGGTATGGATATAGAATTATTATCATGGGATGGCAGTGTGATGGTAAGGAAATAGAATTATTATCGTGGGATGGCAGTTTGATGGTATGGAAATAGAAGTATCGTGGGATGGCAGTGTGATGGTAAGGAAATAGAATTATTATCGTGGGATGGCAGTGTGATGGTATGGAAATAGAATTATTATCGTGGGATGGCAGTGTGATGGTAAGGAAATAGAATTATTATCATGGGATGGCAGTGTGATGGTATGGATATAGAATTATTATCATGGGATGGTAGTTTGATGGTATGGATATAGAATTATTATCGTCGGATGGCAGTTTGATGGTATGGATATAGAATTATTATCATAGGATGGCAGTTTGATGGTATGGATATAGAATTATTATCATGGGGATGGCAGTTTGATGGTATGGAAATAGATTTGACTCTAACAAAAAGATATGAAATAAGTTGAATGAAAGTTAATAACTTCTCAAGGATCACAAGGCTCAGAGTATGCTGTTATTCTGTGATGATCAACAATATGTAACTGGTATAATAGAGGAAGATTTCTTCAGGCTTTGTCTTTTATCTGTTGTTTACCAGCTATAAATGATCTATATGCTGCTCACTCCCAAACAACTTTTTGTCAGCGAATAATTGCTCTCCATGTACTACCTTGTTTTCTCTGCATGAACTATATCAAATCTCAAGTGACCATTTCATAAGTCCCATGAGCCTCTTGATAATAAATAACCATTATAAGAATAATAACAAAGAATGATTTTTTTTAAATCTATCACAACTTTGTGTGAATTGACATGTGATTTCAGTCTCATTTCTTTTGTATTTTATTGGCAGCTATACCTGCGGCTGGATTTACACAGCGTGCTACAATCGACCCGGAATCAGATGAAATACATGTCCTTTCTGTGAGTATGCTCAAGTAATTTAAGGCTCATTCAAGTAATTGAAAATTGAAATGTTGCAAGTCATGTTCCTGCCGCTAAACCTTAAACTTTTCCCAGGAAAAGCAAGATGCTCAATATAGTGCGTGTTAAGAGATCTATGAAACTATTAAAATGAAAATGCAAAACCTTGTTCAATTTTGTATTAAACCTCTTACAATCAAGATAACCGATATGTTTGACATTTTTACAGGGACTCAGTAAAGACAAGGACAAACGAGACAATGTGAAAAATTCTTTTTGGGTGTATGATATCAGTAAAAACAAGTGGTAAGTAAGGGGTGTACCATATTGACGATATTGGTAAAGACAACATTGATGATTCTCTTTTTCCTACATGTGCTTCATTCTGAAAACTGAATTATTCATGGAGAATTGTTTTAAATTGATGCCTTTATTTTATTGGTTTCCAAGTTGGGAATTTTAAAAGATCAAATTTGGGAAAATTCACATACTTTTTACAATTGGGAAAAAGTGCTTTAAACAGACCTAAAGAGTACCCGGATAAACCACTGTTTTAAAGTATGTAATGGGTGTACAATATTGGTATAAAATGGTAAGTAATGGGTGTACAATATTGGTATAAAATGGTAAGTAATGGGTGTACAATATTGGACTTTATGAACTTCAGGTCATGTGTATACAAGAATGAGAACTCTGGGCAACAATACTGGACAAAGATGCAGCATGTAGAGCCAGTACCTCGGTTTGCTCATCAGCTGGTCTATGATCATGTCCACAAGGCAAGTACTGTTCAGTAAAGTTATATATATAATCATCAAATTTACAAGCAACAAGTCTAAAGTATAGTTCAATCTCTCGTTAGCTCACCTGGTCCAAAGAACCATGGTGAGGTTATGCAATACTGCAGCGTCCATCGGTCCCTCGTCCGTCTGTCTGTCAACTTTTCCTTTAAAACGCTACTAGTCCTGAACGGCCAAGTAGATTTTGACTAAATTTGGTCTGGAGCATCCTTGGGCCAAGAGGACTTAATTATGTATAAATGGTGGGTGTGGCCCCCCTGGGGGCAGAGGGGCGGAGCCCAATAGGGGAATAGAGGTAAAACAATTTTGTATAAATGGTGGGTTTGGACCCACTGGGGTCTGAGGGGCGGGTCCCAATAGGGGAAACATAGCATATTTTTCAAAATCCTTCTTCTGTAGGAATGACAGGATTTTGTTAAATTTGGAATGAAGCACCCTTGGTAGAGGGGGAATCAATTTTGTATAAACAGTTAGTCTGTTCCCCTGGAGGCAGAGAGGCGGAGTCCAATAGGGGAAATAGTGGTAAAACCTTTAAAATCCTTCTTCTACCATAGGGATTAAGGGATTTTATCCTAATTTAGTCTGGAGCATCCTTGGGCCAAGGGGACTCAATTTTGTATAAACGGTGGGTATGACCCCCCTAGTGGCATATAGGGATGGGGTTCTGTTTGAAATTTGTTCTCCTATATCTCAAGTACTGGATGGATCTTTCTGAAATTTCATATGTACTTACAACACCCACCATGAAGTGCTATATCTTTACTTCATACCAAATATTTTAAACATGTTCAGGTGAGCGATACAGGCCCTCTGGGCCTCTTGTTTTTTTATTTTGGAAAATATTTTTACTTAAGCATATATATATAGAGAGAGAGCATGAGTTCTGACATTAACAGTGCTTATCACAAAATGCCAATAAAAACATCAGGGTAACCTTGGGCACACACATTTAGAGGCAACCAGAGACATAGAATTCTATGTCTCGGAGGTAACACAAGATTTTTAATTGGCCTTAATGACGTTTTTATCGTGGTATCTATAATTATTAATATGGATTTAAATTGCTTCTATGGGTGCAAATAAATTCCTTTTACAGGTGGTCCTAAAACCCTGAAATATACTTCTATGCCATATACCTCCCTTGGAAAAAACGCTTCTGTGGGTGGTCCTCCTAAATAAAAAGTGCCTTGTAGGGGTATGTTTTACTGGAATAGCCGTTATGTACATATTTAGTTTTGTCGCATCTTTACGGAAGTGAAAGACACATTTCAGGTTTTTATACACCAACACACTTTGGATAATATTTGGCACATTATGTTGACTGACGATAGTAGAAATTTTGAAAAAAAAATGGTTATCTGTAAATGTGTCATCTAAAGGTCAATGTTTTATGAACACGGTCAAAATAAATCTTCAATGACTACAGGTCAATGCAAGTATTTCATAATTAACCCAAAATCATTCTATAAAGGTGGATGAATGGTTAATAGTAGAGTATGGTGTACCAGTATAATATCTTAAAGCTTTGTTATATTCAAAACTTCAATAAGCTTGTGGACAGTGAAGCTGTTGATAATTATACCCCCGCAAGGAAGTTAGGAGGTGGGGGTATACTAGAATCACCCTGTCTGTCTGTCTGTCTGTCTGTCTGTCGTCTGCAGTAACTTGTCCGGAAAACTCCTCTTTAACGAACAGGTGCATTTCATTAAAACTTTGCATGAATGATCAGTATCTTATGTAGTTGTGTACCAGCATTTTAATTTGGGATTTCAACCCTTTTTGATGGAGTTATGCCCCTTTTCGCGAATTACTTGTATGCACAACTCCTCCTTAACGAACAGGTGCATTTCATTGAAACTTTGCATGAATGATCAGTATCTTATGTAGTTGTGCACCGGCATTTTAATTTGGGATTTCGACCCTTTTTGTTGGAGTTATGCCCCATTGTGCGAAATACTTGTCCGGAAAACTCCTCCTTAATTAACAGGTGGATTTCATTGAAACTTTGCATGGATGATCAGTATCTTATGTAATCGTGCACCGGCATTTTAATTTGGCATTTCGACCCTTTTTGTTGCAGTTATGCCCCTTTGTTATTTTTGTATTTTTGTTTTTAATAAAATAGTGATTACCATAACTCATTACTGGTGGGAGACTATATGGCTTTGCATAAGTAAGCCTTTAGCGTACAGTTCTGGTTTATATAGGAGCGGGGGTATTAGTTAGCCTTTAGCGTACAGTTCTGGTTAATATAGGAGCGGGGGTATTAGTTAGCCTTTAGCGTACAGTTCTGGTTTATATAGGAGCGGGGGTATTAGTTAGCCTTTAGCGTACAGTTCTGGTTTATATAGGAGCGGGGGTATTAGTTAGCCTTTAGCGTACAGTTCTGGTTTATATAGGAGCGGGGGTATTAGTTAGCCTTTAGCGTACAGTTCTGGTTTATATAGGAGCGGGGGTATTAGTTAGCCTTTAGCGTACAGTTCTGGTTTATATAGGAGCGGGGGTATTAGTTAGCCTTTAGCGTACAGTTCTGGTTTATATGGGAGCGGGGGTATCAGTTAGCCTTTGCATTGGCTTACAGTTCTAGTTTGGTCAGAACTGACAGATCAGTTTTTAATTTTGCCCAGAAAAAAGGAGCAAGTGTTCGGAGCACATACGATCAGTAAAAGCTGAAAGGATGTCAGGACTGCACATCTCATACAATTTCCATAAACTGCTTTTAGAGTCCATCCTGTCCAATTGTAGTTTTGGAGAATTTCCATCTATATATATGTTATGTATGATCTCAAGAAGATCAGTTATGACCTCAGATCCAATAGCATTATCAAGCTTTGTTTGCAAGGATGCTCTATCGACCATAGCTACTTCAGTATCTGGGTGCAAAAAGCTTCCGATGCAAGAGGGCACCAAAGCCTGTGATGTATCATTAGAGAGTGTCGCACTTGTTTTGGAGTAGTAGTACATGTGTCATTTTACTGGAGACACACAGAACATTTGCGATGGGGAGAGGATGCATATTTCAGATCTGTGATATGCAAGAGAATAATGGGGATGGCATCAATAATATCTTCCTTGCAAATCAGGGGAGTCCAGCAATCATGCTTAAATCTAATCCTACATTCTGGCATGATATAGAATAGTTTGAAGACTACAGAATGATTTGATATGTAATGATAAGTTATAGTTTATATATAACTGTGTAAGCCTTTTATTGCCTTGGCTGCTGTAGCTGTAGATGCGATAGTTTTGTTGTTATGTTTGCAATATTAATTGTTAGGTTATGTTCATTTTTTGTAATTCCTCCTTTTACCTAGTTATTGAACGTGTTCTTCTTCGAAGAGCGATAGTGTTTACTTATGCAAATTAGATGTCTTACCATATAAGGTATCCTAGTATATGTTAATCAGTCCATAGTAACTTTTGACCAATCAGCTATTACGTCTTAAAGGGGTGTTGATATTGCCAGCTTCAGTTTCATCCTTCGTAGTGCTGGCAGATTATGAAGGGCCAAGTGAGCTTATGGCATGGTGCGGCGTCCGTCGTCCGTCTGGCGTCCGGTGTCAACTTTTTACTTTAAACAACTCCTTCTCAGTAACCAAATAGCCTAGGGTGATGATATTTGGCCAGAAGCATGCTGGAATGCAGGGCTACCAAGTTTGTTCAAATAAATGACCTTCATTAATTTTCAAGGTCAAAGGGGTCAAATATGTTAAAATCTTTAAGCAACTTCTTCTGAATAACCAAGAGGCCTAGGATAATGATATTTGGCCAGTAACATGCTGGGATGAAGGGCTACTTAGTTTGTTTAAATAAATGACCTTCATCAATTTTCAAGGTCACAGGGGTCAATATGTTAAAATCTTTAAACAACTTCTATTGAATAACCAAGAGGCCTAGGGTGATAATATTTGGCCAGTAACATGCTGAAATGAAGGGCTACAAAGTTTGTTCAAATAAATGACCTTGACTTATATTCAAGGTCACAGGGGTCAAATAAGTTTAAAACCTTTACACAATTTCTTCTGAATAACCTGGAGACCTAGGGTGCTTAAATTTGGCCAGTTACATGCTGGGATGAAGGGCTACCAAGTTTGTTCAAATAAATGACCTTCATCATATTCAAGGTCACTGGGGTCAAATATGTTGTAATCAGTTAAACAACTACTGAATAACCAAGAAACCTAGGGTGATGACATTTGGCCATTAACATGCTTAAATGAAGGGTTACCAAGTTTGTTTAAATAAATTACCTTCAACCATTTTCAAGGTCACAGGGGTCAAATATGTATAAAACCTTTAAACAACTTCTTCTCAATAACCAAAAGGCCCAGGGTACTGACATTGGGCCTGTAGCATGCTGGGATTAAGGGCTACCAAGTTTGTTCAAATAAATGACCTTGACTTATATTCAAGGTCACAGGGCAAATAGGTTTAAAACATTTGAACAACTTCTGAATAATAAATATGCCTAGGGTGATGATATTTGGCTAGTAGCATATTGGGATGAAGGGCTACAAAGTTTGTTCAAATGAATGACCTTCATCTTTTTTCAAGGTCACAGGGGTCAAATAGATTTTTAACCTTTAAACAACTTCTTCTGAATAACCAAGAGGCCTAGTATAATTCCAGTAACATGCTGGGATGAAGGACTACCAAGTTTGTTCAAATGAATGACCTTGACATATATATTCAAGGTCACAGGGGTCAAATATGTTTAAAACCATTGAATAACTTCTTCTTAATAAGCAAAAGGCCAAGAGTGATGATATTTGGCCATTAACATGCTGGGATGAAGGACTGCCAAGTGAATGACCTTCACCTATATTCAAGGTCACAGTGGTCAATATATGTTTAGATCTTTAAATGATTTGTTCTGTATAACCAAAAGGTCCAAGGTAATGATATTTTGCCAGAAGCATGCTGGGTTGGAAGACTATAAACTATGTTCAACCTAATGTCCTTGTTCGACATTCAACGTCACAGGCGTCATATGTTTAAATCTTTTAATAGGTTCTTATGAATCAAACACTGATATTCTGTCTGTAGCTGTATTTTAGTCCACTTTTAAGATTACAAGTGTGAGATTAATACCAGGTGAGCGATGCAGGCCCATTGGGCCTCTTGTTTTGTGTAATTGTTGTTTTTTCAGGTACATGTATGTAAACAGTAAACTTCATATTTGTCTATTTTGTCAATTTATTACATGCTGCCCTTTTGTGAGGCTTCTTTTTGCCGTTTCATGTTGTATTTTTTAGCTCACTTGGCCTGAAGGACCATGTGAGCTTATGCCGTGGCGCGGCGTCCATCCTGCGTCAACTTATCCATTTAAACGACTTCTTCTCAATAACCAACAAGCCAAATGTCATGATATTTGGCTGGTTGGTTGCTGGGATGAAGCCCAACAAAGTTTGCAAAAATAAATGACCTTGACCCATGTTCAAGGTCACAGGGGTCAAATTTGTTAAAACCGTTAAAACGACTGCTCCTGATTAAACCAAAAGGCCCAGAAGCGTGATATTTAGCTGATATGTTCCTAGGATGAAGCCCAACAAAGTTTGCGAAACGAAATGACCTTTGCCCATATTCAAGGTCACGGGGGTCAAATTTGTTGAAACCTTAAAACGACTTCTTCTGATTAACCCAAAGGCCCAGGATGAGAGCATGACAAAGTTTGTGAATAGAAATAACCATTGCCAATATTCAAGGTCACAGGGGTCATACATGTTGAAAACTTTTTCTTAATAACCAAGAGACCCAGGTTGATAATATTTGGCTAGTAGCATGCTGGGATGAAGAGCTACCAAGTTTGTTCAAATTATCAAGGTCACAGGGGTCAAATATGTTTAAAATATAAAACAACTTCCTCTAAATAACCAAGAGGCCCAGGTTGAAGATATTTGGCCAGTAGCATGCTGGGATAAAGGGCTACAGAGTTTGTTCAAATGAATGACCTTCTCTCATATTCAAGGTCACAGGGGTTATTTGTCTTTAAAACACTTGAAAACAACTTCTGAATAACTTAAGGTTCCAGGGTGATCGGTTGTTCATGTGAATGACCTTGACATACTTTCAAGGTCACATCTGGTCCACAGTGCATAAATCCTTAAAAGTCACCTCAATAAACAAAAGGCTTAGGGCCATTAGATTGATGTTTGACAAGTTGCATTCTGTGAGGAGTTGGTTCAATTTAATGTCCGTGTTTGGCTTTTAAGGTCACAGGGGTCAAATGTGTTTTAATCTTTTAACAGGTTCTTTTGAATGACTTAAGTCAAGACACTGATATTTTGCCTGTAACTTTATTTTAGTCCACTCTTAAGGTTACAATTGTGAGATTAATACCAAGTGAGCGATACAGGCCCATTGGGCCTCTTGCTTATACTTATGTTAGACGGGTTACTCACTCTAATGATTGAGACTTTATTAACAACTATGTGTAAATTTAAATTGACTTGGCTGATTATTACTTCACTTTATCTGTAGTCAGTTTTCTCATGGTAAATTTAACAGATATTTTCTCTGGGGTGGCTAAGAGTCTATAGTCACTTCTCTGGATTCCTCCAGTCTAGTGACTTCTCTTTCCTTCTTCGGAGTCTAGCGTTTCCAATTCATAATGGATATTAGGAGTATAGTCGCTTCTCTGGAGTCTTTCAGAGTCTAGCTGCTTCTCTTGTTTTCTTTGGAGTCTTGCTGGCATCCTTTATCAAGTTTCTCTGTGACTTTTTAGAGTCTAGCTTCCTTTAAAATGTTTTGAAAAGAATTTGTGTTCCTATTAGTAGGATTGTTATAGAGTGAGTAGCCCCTGATACGCCAAATGTTTGCAGTAGGTTTTAGTACTTGTTCTTTGCTTGCACATACATATTTGTCTTAATTCAAGTAATAAACAGGTTAACTGTTTCATTGAGTGAAGTTATGTATAAATAGCTAGTTATGGATTATAAGAGGTGAGTATGTGTGATCATGTGTACCTTGAAAATTAAAGGGATCCTATCACCACACCACTATACCTTGGTATTGTTTTCCTAAACTGCATTTCATATAAAAACAATATGATATATTTAATCGAGGATTCCATCCAAGGGGGTCAATTACCATAACCTATTCCATTTGTAGTCTATTAAGCTACATAGTTTCAGTTCAACAGCTGCATCATACTCTACTATTAACCATACCATCCACCGTGATAGTATATTGGAATGATTTGGGGTAAATTAGGGAATACTTGCATTGACATTGAAGATATATTTGACATTTACCGATTACATATTTTTTCAAAATTTCAACTATTTGTCAGTCAACATAATGTGCCAAATAATATCCAAAGTCTGTTGGTGTACAAAAACCGGAAATGTGTCGATCACTTTCGTAAAGATGCGACATAACTAAAAATGTACATAACATACTAAACTTTCATTTGTGTGAGACTGCATAACTTTTTTTTATTTTGCAACATCCAGCTTTATAGTTGAGCTCATCATCAGCAGCAGACTCTACTGATGACAATTTTATTAGTTGTGATTATAAATTGGTGCGACGTATTTGTTAAATGATCAAACATGACTATAGGTCATAAGTTTGTTGGATTTTATTTGGAAATAGACATTTATATGACAAATTTACTGGTTCTCAAATTTTCTGAAATTTTCCCCATCGTTTCTCAACACAATGCACCTAATAATATTAAAAGATTTTTGGTGTACACTAACCAGAAATTGGTGTGTCACTTCCGTAATAAAATGACAGCAAAAAAGTGAATGAAAATACCAACATTTTTAGGTCACCTGAGCTTTAGCTCAAGTGACCTATTGCTATCCGTCTTCGTCTGTCGTCCGTTAACATTTTACATTTTAAACTTAAGCTGAAATACTTGCAAAGGGATTTCATTAATATTCAGACATATAATCCATCCTCGATACTTCAAGGGCTACCTTCACTTTCACTCTCTGCACCCCTGGAATATGTTGGATTAGTAGCGGAATAAGTACATTAATGAGTATAACTATGTTTTTGTTACTGGGTTACAGGTACACTACCTATTTGGTGGAAATCCCGGAAAGGAAAGCTTACCAAAGATGAGATTGGATGATTTCTGGTCATTAAAAGTAAGTCAGCTGTTAATGATTTTGTTGTTCACAGGTTTATCTTTTGGTGTTTATATTGTTGAATAAAAAGTCAGTGAAAAAAGTTTCATGTTCACTTAAAAATGTTCACAGTGAAACTGTTATGCTTTTGTGTACATAAGTTTACTGTTGGTGTAGGACTAACATTGTTTTGTATTGTTAATTCACATTTTACCCCAGTCCTGGGGTTATTTTTAGAATTAACCCAAGGAAATAAAAAAAAAAGTTTCTTTGACACTACATGACTTTCTCAGAAGCAGGGACATGTTGTTGACGGGCATCAGCAGGACTAAAACAGTTAATCTTTTACCAGCTTCCAATTGATTAATGTTGGTTAAATATATTAAATGTATTAAGAATGAATTTTATTTTCGAGAGTTTAAATGAAGATCTTTAAACTGTATTTCTGCATGGTAAACACTCATAATGACCACAATTAGCAGATGACACACTTTAAAACTATTGCTTTATAGATATATTACCTTGTACTTAAATTTGTAACTTAAATATTGCTTTATAGATATATTACCTAGTACTTAAATTTGTCACTTAAAGCTGACAATGCAAGTTAAAAAGCTTTCAAATGAGATTAAAAGAATATTTTTTATTTTCAAATTTTTTTTTTCTTGTTTTGAGATCTTCCCCATATCTTCCGACTATCGTTTCTAAGGAAGTGCTGACATTTTTGTTTTTTTCCTTGCTTGGTAACGAGTATGGAGTATAGAACTGCCCCAACACACGATGGAGCTGACAAAGTTTGTGAGTGAAATATTTGTAGTACAGTATAATATTTAATGAGAATAATTTGCTATGACTGCTTAAATATTCAGGTGAGTGATACAGGCCCCCTGGGCTTCTTGTTTTTAAAAAATCTCAATTGACAGCTTTTTAACTTGCACTGTCAGCTTTAAGCTGGTAGCCATATTTTGTGATTCCCTATGACCAGTCAACTAGACCTTGACATCAAGTCATAGGATTAAACCTTAATAGTTTTACAACCCCAAAATAGTTTGTATATGTTGTTTTTTTCCCAGCTATGTCGACCTACAGCTGAAAATTTGTTACGGCGATGCAAGTATCTAATTCGGAAGTTTAAATTCCAAGAAATGTCAGAATCCGATTCCCGAGCAGCCATGTTGTATCTTCAGGCCAGTTTGGCAGAAATCGTGGATCATAACAACCTAGAGGAACGTACTGAGGTAAATATTGTTTAGAAATAGAAAATATATGTGTGATTCTGTCAACCTGTAAAAAGAGCAGTCTTAACTAGAAGAGGACATTTTCCTATTGCTCTATCAAAAGAGCACAGGTCTATTACACCAGTGGACCTGGGTTTGACTCCTATCAGCCACCAACAAGTTACCTAAGTGGGAAACTGAATCACAGACAAGAAAAGTGAAATTTGATATGGATCATAATTCAGGAGATAATGTAGGTGATGAGTAAAAGTGTGAGAAAGGCTGTAAACAAAACGAAGATAGTTTAGAATTAAGATAATACAAGATGATTTAGTTACTGGAGCTTGTTAGCTGAACTGGTAATGTAAGCTTGTGCCATAGCCTATTGCTCTGTGTATCAGTTTTAGTTTGTCTATTTGAAGAATAGTGAGGCTTAAAAGTCATGCCAAGCATCTGCATTAGTCAGTGTTGCCAGGTTTAAGATTTTGTCCAGGTGATGAGAATCACAAATATAAGCTGTAGTGTTCTACTAGAATGCTGATACTTGGCACAGTGGTTCTCTATGGGTCCCAAGTTGAAATTAAAAAAAAAATATTGTTAAAAATTCTCACAACTAAAACTAAAAAATCTAGGTGTTGAAATTAACTAAAATATAGCCTTAGGCTACTAGGATGCTGAATGGCGAATTTGATGCAAATTATGAAATTTCCACCGAAGCAGTGATATTTAGCATAATGGTTTCTGAGGGGAACCTGTTTTGGACCTAAATTGTATCAATGTGAAATGTTGTTGGAGTAGGTCGGCACTGCCACTATCACCTCTTGTAAGAGCCAGCAGTACATAAAGGGGATCAAATTCCATAGTTAAATTATTGGATGTGTGCTCTGCCTGCATTGTTAATTTTTTCTTTAAATAAAATTATGTAAAAAACAGGTGTGCTACCAAGGCCTTTAAGTCTCATATTCGTTTTAGTCTACTTATTTATCAAAATGTTGGTCATGGCTTAATCAAAATAAATATATACAGCAGAAAGATCATATCATGACTCTTTCTTCATTTTAACTCTCTTGTATGGCTACTGTTGATCAAGGTACCTATAATTTCTCTTTTGTTTTAACATGTTCCCTGTTATTGTGTCAACATTTGTTGGTCACCTGAGACAAAGTCTCAAGTCTTAGGTGACCTATTCTAATCGCCTTTTATCTGTTGTCGTGCATTATCTGTCCGTTAACAATTTACATTTTCGACTTCTTCTCACAAACCCCTGAACCAATTACTATGAAATTTTGCAGAAACCTTCCATAATATGAACCAAAATTGTGAATTATATGGTCCCGTCCCCCAGGGGCTCTGAGGGGCGGGACCAAAAGTGGTCAAATTGGCTTAAATTTCAACAATCTTCTTCTTAAGACCCAATTAAGCTTGAAACAAATACTCTTCATAGATGGAAGGGTCTTGAGGTGCTTTGTAAAATTTGTGAATTGAGGGGGGAAGTTTCCTATAGTTTAAATAGGAAAATGATACTTTTGGGAATACTTTATTCATTTTCAATTGGAAATACTTCAGACTTGATTGGAATTATAATTCATGAGTCGAAAGTTTGATGCTATGACTATTTTGACCCTGGCCTACCCCAAGGGGCTGAGGGGTGGAGACAAAAGTGGTCAAAATATAGATGAAAGGGTTTAACCAAACTTTGAATTTCATTACTCCTGTACTTCATGCTCCCCCCTGGGTATGAGGTGATATTTACTGGAGTTTCTGTAGGAAAATTATATATTTGGGTATATTTTCAGTTTGAAATTCAAAACCGGTTGGGATTACATCAGAAAATGGAAGATGCTATGAATATTTGACCATAATCAACCCCCAGGGGCTGAAGGGTTGGGCCTAGAATGAAGAGTCGGAGGTGCTAAAATTTCTTTGACCCAGACATGCTAGAATCAAATACTCTCCAGTCTTAAATATGCATGCTAGACATTGGATAAGGCAGTTCTGGTGCTTTTAGCTCACCCGTACTGCAGCGTCCGTGTTCGTCGTCCGTCCGTCAATTTTTTCTTTTGAATGACTTCTTCTGAAGATCTGTAAGACCTAGGCTCATGATATTTGGCCAGCAGGTACCTGGGATGGAGTGCTATGAAGTTTCCTCATTAAAATGACCTTGACCTTATTTCAAGGTCACAGGGGTCAAATATGTTAAAAATTTCAAACAACAATATCCTAAGAACCATTTGGACTAGAGTCATGATACGTGGGTATGTTATGTAGACCAGCAGCGTGAATATTTTCTCAATTACAGTAATGAGGTCAAAGGTCAACTTTAAATGCTAGTCGGGGGTTAAATGTCAACTTTGGTTAAAAGCTTTAACGATATTCTTCTCAAGTTCCATTAAGCCCAGGGTCATGATATTTGGCCAGTAAGTACCTGGGATGAAGTGCTATAAAGTTTCCTCATTAAAATGACCTAGACCTTATTTCAAGGTCACAGGGGTCAAATATGTTAAAAATTTCAAACAATATCCTAAGAACCATTTGGACTAGAGTCATGAACTTGGGTATGTTATGTAGACCAGCAGCGTGAATATTTTTACAGTAATGAGGTCAAAGGTCAACTTTAAGTGCAATTCGGGAGTCAAATGTCAACATGTGTTAAAAGCTTTAAAATGAAAATTTCAAGTCTCAAACAACAATATCTTGAGAACTGTTAAGAGATGTTAAAATGTCTTGTGTTCTAGTTACAAAACTTGGTCTTAAGTTACCTATATGTCAGTTTCATGTAACAAAAGAAACAGGTGATGAATACAGGCCCTCTGGGCCTCTTGTTTAATATAATCTAATATTTGTGTTAGTCATATTTTAAAAACAAAATATCAGAACCATTATGGCCCATGGGGCCTCCTATCATAAACCCAACATTAAATTTTATTGAGATTTAAATTTATGGTGGTAAATTCAGGATCATCATATTCTGGTGATTACATTGCTGGGTATATATATATGCTCTGTCCTCTTTTTCCAGTTTCAATTGCTGGCATCAACACTGTTCAAGTCAGAAGAGGAGGGGGATGTTTTCAGTGGTAAGTCAGGCAATCACCACATCAGATATATCAGAGGATTAGGATTAAAAGAATGATAAAGAAATATCTACAGATTGCTATTCTTTTATTTATTAAACAAATATGATAGATCAGATTAAGTACAGTAATACATTCATTTCTTAAAAGCTTTGATTTACTCTGTAGCAAAACAGTCCTTTACAACATACATATATTGTAGAATCTGATGATACCTAAGATGTCATGTTCTGGTGACCTTTTAACACTAGCCAATCTTGACAGTGTGATGCGATCAGAATTCTCAGTGTGAGAAAACACATCTATGAATTTATCCATTGCAAATAGAAATGGAGTGAAGGATTAGATCTGAAATTGATTGGCTTTGATTTTGATTTTGATTTTCTTCAAAACAGACAATATTTTAATAATTCAATAAATAGTTAAACAGTATCATTGATTTCCTTTGACAGAGATGGCGGGTGTGGACACCAGTGAACACTATCAGACCCGAACAGAACTTTTTGACAAGCTAGTGTCCTTTTTCCCAGAACAGATGACCCAGCCTAAAGGGAACCTTGTTGACCTAATCCCTATGATGTGACTGGTCAGTCATAACAAGAGTTGATTGGTTCCCATGCACTTGTAATGCCCACGCCACAACCAAAAGTTAAGATCTTTAACCTTATGTGAGGATTATTCTCGTGATGTATAATCCAATTTGTGATGGTCAACTCTAGATCTCCCCATGATATGATTGGGCAACATTTCCTCGGATGTTATTGGTCAATGCTTAATAACATGATGTGATTGGTCAAATCTTCCCCTGGCATGATTGTTAGACTCTCATCATCAGGTGATGCCTTGTTCAAATCTTCCCCTGGTATGATTGTTAGACTCTCATCATCAGGTGATCCTTGCATTGGTCAAATCTTCCCCTGGTATGATTGTTAGACTCTCATCATCAGGTGATGGCTTAGTCAGATCTTTCTGACATTAATCATTTTTGACCTATTTATGTGAGGTATTGAGTAGACCTCAGTCTGTTGTTGGATGATACATATTACAAATTGAGGGCAAATGTTTGCTGTCAATTTTTACTGAATTTTCAGAATGACGTCAATGTAGAAATTAAGATTTCTGTCAATAGGGATGAAGTAGGACACACGTCTGCATGTGTATTTTAAGTTGTCGTCAAGACGACAAATTTGATATTGTATCTGATAACAGATTAAAAATTGTGTCTTACTTGAGACTGTCATGAAAACAGACATGATGTTTTCACTGGCAGCAGATACAAAGTTGTCGCTGACAATAGATTGGATGTTGTCCCTAACAACTGATACAAGGTTGTCGCTGACAACGAAGGAGGTTATCATTTATATGGCAACCAATTTTGATGTTTGTGAATGACATCAAATGATTTTGAACCCCCTGTTCATGAGATTATCTCTGAGAATTGTAATTTTTTAAACTGCCGTGACAATTGCAACAGGTATGCAGTAATGTATTGAATATATATATGTTTTTGGTGAGTTTTTCATGTGTTAAATTAATATATTAATGAAACTTACACAAGTTAAGCTCTATAAGAATAAGAAGGGGTAACATTAACTCTGTATTCAATGATTTTAATATAAAATGACATGGCATCTATTAGAATGTGAATGACATGTTTCAAATCAGTATTGTTATCTACACATTGTGTATGTTGCCTGGCAGCTAGAACAGGATTACTATGTTCGAAAGCACTGGTACCCTATAGACTAGGCACTCAGGCAGTTGGGATTTTTTTAAATTTGATGTTGCCTTATCAAATTAAGATAATAATTCAGAATAATATGTAACTAATATTAACATTTAAATCTTGATATTGCAGAAATAATACAAAACCTTGCTAGTCAAAGTTTATTGGATATCAAATATTTAGTTTCACCAGAAATTCTATGTGTACATGTTAATGAAACATCGCTGTCATTGATAGGTTTATTCATTACAGTAGTAGAGTGTCTTAAAATTAATTCTCCTTTATTGGAGTCTTAGATTAACAAAGTTCTATAACATATGTTTATCCATTTGAATTCCTTAAGCCTGTGTGTATGCTACCTTGTGGTGACTTGTATCTACTTAGTAAATAATCTGTCAAATATCTCTTATTATGATTGTAGTTCATTACTAATTTCTTAACACCTCCGACCAAAACCCCAGAAATAAAATATGAAGTCACTTTTATCTCTAAGGTATCTTTGACTCTGTACATGTTTTTGGGAGGGGGAATTTTTCCAAAACAGGTGTAAAATAATCTTTGGTTGTTCTGATGAAAGGATTTCCTTTGATGTCTCTTATATATATGTACAAATCACTGTCTTGAGTTATCCGTAGAAAACTCTACAAAACCAATCTGATTAAAGATCTGGTTTTAATCAGCTTGCTCTACAACAAGAGAATCGCTATAGAAAAGATGCCATAAAGCTTGGAGAATTGAGGGGTTAGGGGTTGAGATTCTGTGATGTAAGCTAGGTAGAGGGATTATAAATGTAAGCTAGCTATTGTGATGCTAGAAAGGTATCTGGAAAGGCAGAGCAAAGACATTTCTATTGTATAAAAAGATGGAATTGTATAAAATTGACATTTGCAGAAATTCATCTTTGTTATTATAAGTGCTTATTTATTGGTATAATATGAAGCCTTTTGGGAATTCTTACCAATGATTTGAAGTGATCAATCATATTTGTCATCTACCTTGAGAAAAAATTCTATCGCATCTGATTTTTAGCTCACCTGCCTGAAGGGCTAGTGAGCTTATGCCATGTCCGGCGTCCGTCAACTTTTCCTTTTAACGACTTCTTCTTAAGAATGGACAGGCCTAGAGTCATGATATTTGGGTGATAGCTTCGTTGGTTGGAGCCTGACAAAGTTTGAGAATGAAAATGACCTTGACCTACTTTCAAGGTAACAGGGGTCAAATATGTCAAAAACTTCAAACAACTTCTTTTGAAGAACTAAAAGGTATAGAATCTTTATATTTTGCTGTTGGCTTCCTGAGATAGATCCCAACAAAGTTTGAGAATGAAAATGACCTTGACCTTCTTTCAAGGTCACAGGTGTCAAATATGTCAAAAACATCAAACAGCTTCTTCTGAATAATGGAAAGCATAAGATCATAATTTTTGGCTGGTGGCTTCCTGGGATAGAGCTCACCAAAGTTTGCGAATGAAAATGACCTCAACCTACCTTAAAGGACAGAGATCAACAGCATTTTAAAGGATTTGTTCTTAAGAATCAAATGGAATGGATTCATAAGATTTGGGTGGTAGCTGTTTGGGATAGAGCTAACAAAGTATGAGAAGGAAAATGACATTGACCTACTTACAAGGTCACAGGGAAAAATATGACAATTAACTTTTGAAGAAGAACCAAAAAGCATAGAATCTTATAATAATATTTGGCTGGTAGTTTCAACAGATGGAGCCGACAAAGTTTGCGAGGGAAATATTTGTAGTGCAATATAATTTTGAATGAGAATATTTTGCTATGACTACTTAAATATTCAGGTGAGCGATACAGGCCCTCTGGGCCTCTTGTATTTTTGTAAGTTACTTTCATGATATTAAGCAATATGACACAATGACTATGTTTTATCTAACAAACCCTGAAGTAGGGTACCACCTGATTTTGTCCCCTGGAAACAAAGGTCTCCAAGCTGTTGAGTTGCTCTTGTTGGTGTGAACATTTTCAATTTGTATGCATAACTCATTGAAATATTCATTAAAGCCTAGTAAACTATTCAGATACTTCGCTATTTGGGGAAGAAAGTTGACAATAGAAGTATTTATTGAAAGATTTTTTGTCTCTGTTTCCGTGCACATGATACAGAGAATGAAAGGGCATTGTCACTTAATAGTACAAAACATAAATGTACCTAGTAAGTTGCAGAACACTGATATTCAAATTGAAGTGTCTTTCTCAGACAACTAGCAATTTTCCCACTGTTTTCCTCATAATTCAAATTGATTGTGAAAAAGTTAGAACCTTACGATTGGAAATGTATTTAGATCTCAAATAAAGCGGAAATAAACATCCCCAGAAAGATGTTTGTAGTAACTTTCAGTTATTAAACTCATCAATGGTTGTTCATGTATTGTTTACAAATTTTACTGCATGTGGAATTAATGACTTGTGTGTATGGATGTATGTTATGAAGAACGTGATATCTTGAGAGTTTTCATATTGTAATGAGGTGGAAATTGTGGATACATGTACCATACTGGAAAACAGCCAGTAGAAATGATCATTGTTTTAAATGATTTACTGCTCTATTTTCAAATATCTGTTGTTTAGTTCACAAATGTAATGTGTGATTGTATTCATGAAGATGTGATCGAAGTATTAAATGGAATAAATGTATGGAACATTTTAAAGTAGTTTCCTTTATATTTATTAGCTCACCTGCCCAAAATCCGGCGTCCGTCAACTTTCCTTTAAACGACCTCTTCTGAAGAACCAGAAGGCATAGAGTCATGATATTTGGCTGGTAGCTTCCTTATATGGAGCCCGACAAAGTTTGTGAAAAAATCAGAATTTGACATACTGTCAAGGTCACAGGGGTCAAACATGTAAAAACCTTCAAACAACTTCTTCTGAAATACGGAAAGGTTTAGAGACGCGACAATTGGTAGGTAGCTTCCATGGAATAAGCCAAACAAAGTTTGCGAATAAAAATGGCCTTGACCTACTTTCAAGGTCACAGGGGTGAAATATGTCAAAATTTTCAAACAACTTATCTTCCGAAATACAGAAAAGTCTAGAGATAAGAGAATTACCTGATAGCTTCCTTGGTGAAAGCCAAACAAAGTTTGCGAATAAAAATGGCCTTGACCTACTGTCAAGGTCACAGGGGTCAAACATGTAAAAACCTTCAAACAACTTCTTCTGAAATACGGAAAGGTTTAGAGACGCGACAATTAGTAGGTAGCTTCCATGGAATAAGCCAAACAAAGTTTGCGAATAAAAATGGCCTTGACCTACTTTCAAGGTCACAGGGGTGAAATATGTCAAAATTTTCAAACAACTTATCTTCCGAAATACAGAAAAGTCTAGAGATAAGAGAATTACCTGATAGCTTCCTTGGTGAAAGCCAAACAAGGGTTGCGAATAAAAATGGCCTTGACCTACTGTCAAGGTCACAGGGGTCAAATATGTCAAAACTTTCAAACGACTTCTGAAATACCCAAACGCCTTGTGACATCATATTTGGCTGGTGGCCTCCTTGGAATTAGTCAAACAAAGTTTGCGAATAAAAATGATGTTGACCGACTTTTAAGGTCACAGGGGTCAAATGTGTTAAAATCTTCAACCTTTTCTCAATAACCAACAGACAGGGTGATGATATATGGCCAATAGCATGCTGGGATAAAGGGGTACCAAGTTTGTTCATATGAATGACATTGACCGACTAAAATATTTTGTAATATCAAATTGATATATTTTCCCTTGAATTACAATGTAAACTTTGGTTTAGAAGTAGTTAAATGCCAGAAGTGTTTTTTAAGCAACTGTTACTGTTATTTTCTGTAACACCAAACCGTTTTTAGCTCACCTGCCTGAAGGTCAAGTGAGCTTATGTCATGGTGCAGCGTCCGGCGTCCGTCCTGGTCTGCAACTTTTCCTTTAAACAACTTCTTCAGAAGAACGGAGAGGCCTAGAGTCATGATATTTGAATGAAAGCTTTGTTGGTAGGAGCCCGACAAAGTTTGAGAACGAAAATGACCTTGAACTATTTTCAAGGTCACAGGGGTCAAATATGTCAAAAACTTCATATGACTTCTTCTGAATAACTAAAAGGTATATAATTTGCATATTTGGCTGATGGATTCCTGGGATGAAGCTCAACGAAGTTTGAGAATGAAAATGACCTTGACCTACTTTCAAGGTCACAGGGTTCAAATGTGTCAAACACTGCAAACGACTTCTTCTGAAGAACTGTAAGGTATAGAATCTTTATATTTGGCTGGTGACTTCCTGGGCTAGAGAACAACAAAGTTTGAGAATTAAAATTAGTTTGACCTACTTTCAAGGTCACACCAGTCAAATATGTCAATATATTTGATTGATGGCTTCCTGCGATAGAGGCCCGGCAAAGTCTGAGGATGAAAATGACCTTGACCTTCAAACGACTTCTTCTGAAGAACTGAAAGGTGTAGAATCTTTATATTTGGCTGATGCCTTCCTGGGATACAGCCGACAAAGTTTGAAAACGAAAATGACCTTGACCTACTTTCAAGGTCACAAGAGTCAGATATGTCTAATGCTTAAAACGACTTCTTCTGAAGAACTGAGAGTTATAGAACATAAATAGTTGGCTTGTAACTTTCTGGGAAAGAGCTCAACAAAGTTTAAAAATGAAAATGACCTAGACCTGCTTTTAAGGTCATATGAGGCAGATATGTCAAACACTTCAAACGACTTCTTTTGAAGAACTGGAAGGTATAGAACCTTAATATTTGGCTGGTTATTTCCTGGGAAGGAGCCCAACAAAGTTTGAGAATGAAAATGACCTTGACCTACTTTTAAGGTCACAGGAGTCAGATATGTATAACGCTTAGAACAACTTCTTCTGAAGAACTAACTGGAAGGTATAGAACCTTAATATTTGGCTGTTTTTTTCCTGGGAAAGAGCCAAACAAAGTTTGCGAATGTAAATGTCCTTGACTTTCAAGGTCACAGCTTTCAAATATGTCAAACGGTTCAAACTGCTTCTTACAAGGTCAAAGGGAAAAATATGTCAAGCAACTTCTGAAGAAGAATCAAAAAGCATAGAATCTAATGAAAATATTTTGCTGGTAGTTTTAACAGATAGAGCCAACAAAGTTTGCGAGGGAAATATTTTTAGTGCAATATAATATTTAATGAAAATATTTTGCTATGACTGCTTAAATATTCAGGTGAGTGATACAGGCCCTCTTGGGCCTCTTGTTATTAATATGTTAATGTCATATATCAGATTTCACCTCATCTGGCAGTGTCAGTGAGATTCATCCCAAGGTGTTGTGTCTGTCACCATCCATTATCAAGTTTCCTGTTAAAACACTCTTACACACAACAGATAAATGGATTTTCAACTCGCCTGGTCTATGCTGTAGTGTGGCCTCTGTTGTCCGTCACCTGTCTTCTTAAAAATGCTAGTCTGAACGGACCAAGGACTAGATTTGTATATGCAGTGTGTGAAAAGTAGGTCACTGTGGCCTATGCATTGACAACTCCACCTTTGCGAAAGTTTGTAACCAGACTTGATACTCTTTGGTTTTGGTTCAATTTTGTTTAACATCCTTTTAAGAGCTAAGGCCATTTAAGGACGTGCCTCCATGTGTGTAGTGTATGTGTGCTTGTGTGTGTGTGTATGCAGGAGACAGTGTATGTTGGTGTGCTTGCCTCCTTGTGATAGTGCGGATCTGATGCCGACTTTATAGTGTTATCTCGCTGAAATGCCATAATGAAGGCACCAAGCACAGCACTCCGCCCAGTCACATTATACTGTGTTGTTGCCATTCCCCTTAATGCTGAACGTTCAGCATGGAATAGCAACTATCATTTTTAAGGACTTTGATACGGCCTGGAGACGGAACCCATTGCCTTCCTCATCTCGGCAAACACTCATCATTCAAGCTAAAAGTGAGGTGTTGCCAAACAAGGCGCTAGGAAATAAAAGGTAGTTAGAAGTAATTTTATAAAAGGACTGTATTTAGAATTTCCAAATTCGTTTATTGATCTTTTATTGGTGGTATCTAGTTGATAAGAAATATCGGTGTGTAAGAGGCCAGCTTATCACGTGCTTACACACAATATGGTAAGGCGTTGATCACGGGGGAATGTTTAAATTAAAAGTGTCAATAAGCTTATACCACGGTGCAGTGTCTGTCCATCACAAACTCTTCATTAAAAAGACTACTAGTCCAGAATGGCTGAAAGTATTTTGACATCCAGGAGCAAATGAAACTTTATGTTTTATTATAGAAAGTTACACTCTTCCCTGTAGCATATGTCGTGGCCTGTAAGGAGAAAATATGGCACCTTACCCTTAAAACACTGCCCTCATTAATTACCTGTTCAGTGATAACAGCCTTATTTTGTTTGAATATTACGATTAATTGTATAAATGAAGGTTTTTACAACCTACACACCCCCTAAGTTACAGATAGGTTTCCAAATAATGGATAAAAACACATTATTTGAAGCATCTAAAGGCGAAGGGGATTCAATGATGTGTAACTGAAAGGTGCCCCCCTTCGACACACCACCACCACCTACAAAGCATCCTTGATCCTTTTGGGGTCATTCCATTGAAATTCAGGGTTATTCCTTTAGTTATAATTTGCTTGGCTAATTGTTAAATTTTACCAACTTCAGTTTCATATCTGAAAAAATATCGTGAGATACAGATAGAACTAGCAGATATATATGTTCTCCAATTAGTATTGGTGGGTTATCATGTCTATCTAATCAACCATCACGAGTTTGGAGGCTCAACTTAATAACACATCCCCCAAAGAGAACATTATGAGATCATTGTATTTCTGCCGCTTGTTTACCGAGCACTGTAGATGATAATAACACTTATCTTAGGTATTCTCTGTAGTATAAAAGCTCCTTTACACTCCAAAAGATAACAGTCACAAATATAAAACCTCTATTTGTATTGCAGAAATTTCAACAAGATTTAGTTGTATTTAAAGTCAACATACCGGCCAGTTCTATTGTGTTAGAGCAGCTCTGTAATGTGTAAATCAGTGCTGCTGGATTTGTTTTACAAATATTTATTGTTAGATCGATTCTACAGCCACTCTATCCCGGTATGTGGTCAGGGTTGATATAGTGTTGAACGTGTAATTGATTATGTTAGGAACAGTTCATTCTATTGCTAGACTTCGTCACAGTTTAGATAACGCTTGCACAGGTACATAGAACCTATTGAACCTATCTTTTTGTCGACGCCAGTGTTTATCTTATATGTAGTGCGAGTCCTCTAAACTATCCTGGTATTCAACTCCAAGGATCCAGTGTGTAAAGTTGTATTAGCTTAGTGTTTATAGTAACGTTGTTATATTTGTAGAAATATGTTTTTTCTGTAAAACTTCTTGAGAGAGATCCTTTTAAAACAGGACATGGACATTTTGTTTTCATTGTTAGAAATTATGAACATCATATCAAATTAAATAAAACCAAAAACTAATAAAGCTTAATTAATTTAATCGAGTTGATTTTTGCAGACACTATCTCGGCTACAGTTTAACCCGGAACCCTCAAGGATTCATAACAAACCTGATATTTGTCAACATAAATAACAACACAAGAAGGAAGATTATATGTAAATTACATATTTAATAAAAATTTCGAAAGTAAAACCAAAATTAAATTAAATTTTCTGAATTTGTCGACAAACGTTACGGCATTGATTTTTGTGAATGTTTGCTTCATTTGAGGATAATATATCAAGCCTTCTCCGTTTATTAACTAATTTGTTATACTCCAGAGGCTGGTCTAAGTATTAAGACTTTCTGGATATAGGCATTCGGTTGACTATCAAACTACTCATCCAGGGTTCTCCACAAGAGAAGCTTCTTTTGAACTACTTTTCAAAAGGCCAAGTCCGGGTTTTCTACATAAGTCTTCACTATAGGATGGAATTAATGTTCACTATGCCTTTGAAAGCTGGTGACTAACATATGTACCTTTCCGAATTTTACATGAAATATCGTCATGGATTCTCGTGATGTGAAGGAGATTCTGCCTCTGTTGGATCCGCTGGATGTGCCTCCAGTTTATGAAGTTCAATGTTATCATGGCTTTGCAATACATTATTAACACCAATGTACAATTTACAGATATTTTATAATAATTTCAGGGAAACAAAATAGAATTAAAAAAACGTAATCTGGTTTACAAGCGCAAATGATATTTTGAACTAAATTTTTGTGTTAAGTTCTTCCCAACAGATACGGTAAAATGATAACAATTAAGGTGTAGAATGATTGAGCCTACAAAGGGCATTTCAAAAGCACAATTAAGCTGAAATTTAACCTAAAAAGGGAAAGAGTTTCACTTGTGCCATACCTCAATGTCAATGAAAAGCGCTGTGGTGATTAGTGAAATTGAATGCAAGAATTCGACCACGAAATTTTGTCTCTAATATTCTCAACCACAGTTATGTGATCATCGCTCTCCTTTCCAATATCAAGACAATCCTTTAATAGCTGTAATTTAACCTTTGAGACTCCCATCTGGAAATAAGCACTGTCAATACTTTTATAAAAGGACTGTATTTAGAATTTCCAAATTCGTTTATTGATCTTTTATTGGTGGTATCTAGTTGATAAGAAATATCGGTGTGTAAGAGGCCAGCTTATCACGTGCTTACACACAACATCGTAAGGCGTTGATCACGGGGGAATGTTTAAATTAATCATTTGCTTTTCCTGTTAACAATTGCTATATAATGTTTATGAGAGCAGATTGCCGATGAAAACTGGAGCATACAAACTGGGAAATATCCTTTACTTTAGTAATTTAATACTGAGATGAATCAACCGTTTGATATTTACTCTGTGACCTTGTTTATTTTGTTTTCGGCATTATTATTTGAAAATGTTGAAAGTGATACTGCCAAGATGGAACCTGATGAGATTAAAAACGAATGGATTCAAGATTTTAAATCCAATATTGAAACCTTTGCAGAAGAGGTTTTAAACATAACGGAAATTAAGAAGCATTTAACAAATAATAGAAAAAATGACGAAGTGAAGTTAATTGACGAATTGATTGAATTTAATCGGATATATAAGAAAGTTTCATTTCGTTTGGCGAACGTTCGTTATGTTGTATTAAATTTGTCGACTGCCATCGAAAGTGAACTTGATGCTCACGAACAGGGGCTGCCATCTAAAGCATTGGAACCATTGCCTGTATGCTGTAATGTTAATACGAGTCCAGGAAGTTACGAAGGCAGGCTTCGGCAAAACGTTGACCTTAACAAGCCTTGTATTGGAACAAAGGGTGGTAATCTGTTTCGAACTGATGTCTGGGCCTCTCTACAACATTTGCAGGTAAGTCCAGGAAGTCGATAGTGATAAATTAGGTAAATAGATAAATATCGAACTAACAAGAAATTTGATATGCTGTTTAAAAGACCTCGTGTTAGATAGTTAAAGTAGCGTCATTACCTTAATGTATCCACTGTATATTTTTAGCACAGGTTACATATTTTGCAGATAGTCTTTTATCACTGAATTAATGTCGTCTGTGTTTTAGATTGTTATTGGTCGACATAATTTCAAAACATTGACAGAACACATTTTGAACACAGTCTTTTGTTAGGTTCATGATGTCCTCCCTTTTGTTTTGGTGTCTCCTGCGTAAATATTGTTATCTTTCCGTATCTAATTTGAGTTACAATAAAGATATGTTCTATTGTTGGATTGTTTTCTCTTTTATTTGTTAGCAAAGCTATGTGGATACACCTACAGTGCTGTGGCAATACTTCTCTACTACGGACGGTTATTTTACACAGTACCCCTCCAGTAACCGTCACTGTGACAGCCAGGGGAATCTCATTAGCCCTCTCACACAGTAAGAACAAAGTCTGACATAGACATATTTCTCCCCAAATACTCGTCATTGTAATAGCTAGTGGAAAAGCATCAGTCAACGCACTCAGTAAGTACATTATAGTCTGATACAAATATAGTTCTTCTCAAATAATTATCACTCTGACAGCCAGAGGATCCTCAAACATAGTTATTCTTAAAATAATTGTCACTGCGACAGCCTGTGGTAGCTCACCATTCTCAGCACACAGTTTGTACATTGCAGTATGACAAAGACACATTTCTCCTCCCCTAATAGTCTCTGTGACAGACTGGACAATACGAACGAACGAAGTGCATATCTCTCCATTAATATTATCTTTAACAGAGAATGCATTATTCTTTTAACAGTTCCAGTCTCAATATTTGTAATCATAAACAACACATGTTCGAGTGTTGTCCTCTTTAGATCCTGTGGATGAAATGATAAAGGGTGGGTGACTCTGCTGGAGGTCGGCTGTTACCGTGTTACAGGAAATTATTCTAGCATGGTTAACATGAAATATTTGTGCAAAAATAAATGTATGGGTTTAGAAAGCAATGTTCCTGTCTGTCATCATGTAATTTTAATCTTTTCGATACAGTGTGTGTGCACTCTCTACGTCCCGGGTCGATTGACATATCAAATATATAATTTCGTCACACCATTGTACAGGTTTACAAGACAAACGACTCACTCCGAACTGGTGGTAGCTTGACAAAAGGACTAGGTCTTGAAATGTTGCGACACGTTTAATACGTACATTGTTTGTGTATGAAGTAAAACATTGATATTACATATTTCTTAACAGATGGATTTTATTGAGGAAACCTTTAGTCTTAATACTTTAGTACCATCGATACATGTATGTCCTAAGACGACGAAATATTCATATGATGCAGTTAAAGGTTTTCTGCATCCACGTTTGTACCGTGTTTCATTACTCGGCATTTTAAGTGATTATTGACAATGGAGGTAATGCACTGGCCATTTGTGCTATAACTGCGATATTTGATTCACCATGATTGATAATTATGTCTTTTCTAAGACGTGTCGACTGAGGTGGAAATAGAATAACCTTCACTGCTCAACAAAACAAGATATATCATGCATTTTACAAAACTAATGCTAACAGGAAAATGTTGTAGCTTGTAAGAAGCGTTAGAGATACGATACAATAACTATAATGGAGTAGGGATTAAATTATGTGACAGCTTGGTCAAAAACATCCTATTCGTTATTGCTTTCATTTTTTCGCTCAAACGTAACTCCTTCATTTGACTTATTACAGAGTTTGCACAACGGCTGAACTTAGATTTCGGATAAAAACCTGCGCGAGTAGCTTTTTTTGCGTTTGAAGGGTTTTATTTGTTGATACACATATATTTTGTTTGTTGACTTTTGAAGGGATTTATTTTTGTGGAATGTATATTGTACTAGTTCATCTTTTGTTTTTGAAGGGAATGGTTTGTGGATAAACTGTTTATGGAAAGGAAGAACATTATGATAGTGTATGATGTAGGGGCTAGTTCTGACTTGGTTGTCGGTCCTGCAAACATGACTGCAAGCACGTACATCCACGAGGCCGTCCTACGTATTCTGGATACCTTGACACCCGATGATCAAGTATGTAGGCATTACTATTTTTATACAAATATGCATTAAGGGTATATGCTTACTTATGCAAGATACATGCGTGTTATGTTAGAGTTATCCTTTCTCCCTAGAGAACTTTTGAAATAAGTATGATATAGCATCTGAGAATCATCTGTCAATGTCTGTGTTGTCAATTCAATTGCCTATTATAAAATTAGCAAATATTACTAGCGTCATGTCTTTTTAAATTGTACCGTTTAGGTTTGCTGTAGAATTATCTGGAATAATATTGATAACTGTGATGAAACGCAATACATCGACCAGACATAAATTATCTTCTTTGCACTCAATCAAAGTCCTTGTTCGTGTCACCTTGCTAATGATACGAGTTGACTCGTCCAGAGACTATAAGAAATTCTTATTTACTTGTGATCTAAGAGTAATGCTTTTATTAAATGGAAAGAGAATGGTGCGGCTGCTTATAGCATTGATCTCAGAGTTGCTCTTGTGCAATCTTCAATGTACAGGGACCGCTGCCAATCAGTCTTGTGATTGGTTGAAATTTGATGTCTGGAATACGTAATCATATGAAAGGAGGACATGGATGCAATGCAGAAATATGTATATGGAGACCGTAATCCATGGATTTTGAAGATAGTATCAAAGAAAAGAACTCTGTTATATTTGATATTATTTTCAAACAATCAAATATAGTGTCGGCATCTTCAAAAGCTAACTTAATGTTGATACCGATACACAAGAACGGAAATCGAACTGTAAATAAGGAGGCAATGCCGAGATAACGTTAACAACTTGTGGTTGTTTAGCTCTCAGTGTTTTAATCTTTGTGCTCTTACAACAGGTGAATGTAGTGGCCTTCAATGACACAGCACATGTTCCCACACAGTGTGGCAGCAGGTTATTCGTAGCCAATCAGGTCAACTGTGACAAAATTCGTCGGTTCCTCAGCTTGACTGCTGTCCCTGGAGGTAATATTTTTAAGGGTCAGCCTACCACTGCCAAAAACCGTCACTATGCAGTGGAAACTGGATTTTCTGGCATGTCTACAGCTTTGATAAATCATTGCTGAAAAAAATACCTTGCGAGAAAAAACACTGTGCATAGGGAGAGGGATCCTTAAATGAGATGTAACGCTGAGTTGGAAGGCAGGATTATACCGTAATGTGAAAACAATTAGTATCAAACTGTCAAACAATCTCGTATACTTTTTGTAATTGAACAGATTAATATCTCTACTTTCTGTTATATTGTGATTTATGTGAAGTGGAATTAAAGACATGTTATGTATGTTTTAAACAATATAAAGTATACGGAGGATAAATTGTTAATTTATTATATGTCTAAGGTGCAATTTCAAAACTATTAAAGTTAAATATTACTGAATCAACAAAGTGCGGGATTTAGTATCGTTTTCCTTGGCGCATTATTCTAATGACAACAAATCTGCGTGGCTTTTTGAACTAGCTCTCCTGCGCACATATTCATTTTATACAGTTGTCTAAAAATATCTTGTACAATTTTCTTACAAAAGGATATTAATTATGTATTTATGTTAATAATTTGTGCATGTACCAACAAAACACTTCATTCTACTATTTAAGGAAATATGTGGATTTGAAAGCAGTATTTATAAAATACTGTTCTGATTGGTCAATTTAATATAAATATTGGACCTTATATTTTCACATTGGAAGATAAGATAAAGTACATTACGGATATCTTCACTACTGTTTTATGAAAAGGTTATTTTCCGATACTTCACAGGTAATTAATGTTATATACTAGTACACATTTATTTTTTTATGGTAATGACACTAAAGATTCAATATATGCCTTGTGAGTTTCCCCCCTTTTTCCATGTTGAATATTCAGATATCAAATCCACGTATGTTAAGTGCAACTTATCAGCATAAGCAGACATAAGCGTAAATAATCAGCTATCCTGTATGTGTAGTAATATCGATACCTAAAATGTTTTAATCCCCGACTCGGCGGGGATGTATCCATTCAAGCTTGACTTTTTGAATATATTATGAATAGCAATATAATAACATTTTCTTTTTTTTGTATCCTTTTTTCAAATGGAGAAAAGAAAACGTTTAATTCATTTGCTTATATTTTGTGCGTATTTCTAAAGTTGTGATTCAGTTCATGAGATTTTATTTGTTTTAAATAATGTATATGTGTTGTTTTCGTAATGCATATAATAAGACTGACACTGCCCTTGTCATGCATGTAGCTACTTCGTTGCTTCATTGAAATGAAATCGCCGCCATTGCATTTCTGACCAGGATGACAATGTAACTTATACTTGATAGAACGATTCTACGTACGATTGTTTTACGAACGCATAAAAGAAAAACCTTTAAATGACATCTGCAATAAAGTACGACAGACCCAATGTAATTAAAGTAAATTTGGTATCTGTATTAATACAGGTGGTTCGGACTATACCAGCGGACTTCTGAAGGCGTACAACTTGTTGATGTCAGAAAAGCAGCAGCTTCCTGTAAGTGTGCGGTTTGACTGATACAGGGTTAGCTGTAGTGTCTAGAGTATCCGCATGCAGTCAAACTCGTGATTCGTCCCTTTATTTATTTCTTATCTTGCATTTGTAAGAAATGTCGACCTGTGTCGAATATGATCTGTTAAGATGATGAAACCTTAATGAATGCCCATACAGACGCAATACGTTTAAAGTTTATGAATAATAAATTTGTTGGGAATATCATTAAAATATATTCAGGTCCTAAAATCTACCCTCCCTAGGCATATGCTATGTAAAACAACTTTCTTATTGACATTAGTGTGATGTACATTTTTTTTTTGTTTTTTTTTGATAATTATAAATGCAAAAGTTTAGTATGCAATCATAAGTTAAACGTATCTTAATTATTTTTTAAGTGATGATTATTTTGGGTGACGTAATGTAAATACTGTATCTCACATTTGGTTTTACTAATTTTTTAAAAACATTCATCTTTAAAAGACAATTTACTTTTCTATGCAATGTATTGGAGCAATACATTGATGCCTATGTCAAAAATGAAATTCCATTGTACGCTTTAATTTCACGCGTAATCGTAAATCATGTGATTGTGATGATTACCTATTTGGAACTGTACACATTTGTTTCTTTACAAGTATCGAAAACATAGTGCTTCCAAAACAGAAATCGTTTGTAAAACATAGATTTCTTTTGTCTGTATTCAAGAAAGTCTCTGCGAATATTGTCATTTGATAATTATATAGTGATACGCCGATGCTGTTAAACATTTTAAGATATTTTTTAAAATTTTACACAGGACAAATTTCGTACACTTTCAACTCAGCTGATATTCCTTACTGCCGGAAAACCAACTAACATTGACGTTGAAAAACTCTTCACCACCATTTCGAACAAACAACAAGCACTGGTAAGTCTTTGTATGTATGCTCATTTCTTTGGTCTTATTTTCAAGATAACTTGAATGTAACATAATCGTCCATGAAGAGTTTGATACAGTGCAACAGGAAAATTTCACCAGTTTTATGTTTTCGTTCCAAGTCGCAATACAGTGAAAACCATTGTTAAACATCAGTCACAACAAACTTTTTGCAGAATTAAATATTTCAGAATTTCATACTGAACGAGAATTTGCCAACGAAGCAATTCAAAAGTTCTTTAAAATAACTATTTATTATGCGACCAGATCTCCTCAAACTATAGGTTCTCCTTAACTTTTTTAAAAGAAAGAAACACATGATATCAAATATTAAAACTGATGCCATGTGACAAAAATCAATATTGTTTTTCAATTTTATTACTAAATACAAAAATTACTTTGTTTTTGTGGAAGGACAAGAAGGTTCATCACTTTGTCTACACATTTGACACAAGTCTTGGCGAAGGAGCGAAAGAAATCCTATCTGGCATAGGACACCAAGAGCTGCCTGGATGGCCGAAAGTTAGTACCGCCATCATCGTTATTGAGTTCGTTCAGCTAGATATGTTTTAAATTGAAACCAGAAACAAGCTAATGTGAAAAAATAAAAAAATAATGTTAAAACAACACTAGGCTCAGAGTCTAAAATGTACACAAATATAGTTTCAAAGTGTGTACCGATGTGTTTGTGTGTGTGGTTAGGGGAAAATACATTTCATTCTCAACCTTAATTGAGACTAGTAGCTCACACAATTCTAGGATATATCTTTTTTCAAATTCGCTATCGCCAAATTTCCAATAATCAGCTTATTGTGAAACAAAGGTAGTATGCTGTCAGTTAACTATAGTCCTCAAATCTCTCTGCAATCATACCCACGTAATAAATAGGTACACGCAGATAATCAAGAGGTACAAAACCAAAATTGCTCTTCATAATAGGTTTACAAGCCCTAGCAACAATTTAAGTTACTTTTAATTTTAACTCCAATGGTTACATTTCATTACGAAATATTCGTTCTGAGTTCTAAATAATAAATATTATATCCCCACAACGCTTACGCCTCGGTTGGGATTATGGGACATAATCTAGCCCTCGATTGAGATAACCCGATCTCGCTCAATTACAGGTAATATACTTGATTATTTTGTCTGTCCAACCGTCCGTCCTTAATGCCATATTACTTTAGAATTTTAGTAGCCAGATATTTCCTAATATCACCTCTTACTGTTTTGATCCGCTACAAACACAACACTCGCGATAAAACTGTTCATGCAATTAGATCTATTTGGAGATTATTTTTGAGCGAGCCTATGACTTGCAGTTCTAATTTGTTCTGTAGCACATGTACATTATATGTTAGAATTGATGTGCTACATTAGTGGGATACTGGTACTCCTATGTTAGAATTGATGTTCTACATTAGTGGAATACTGATACTACGATGCAGCTAAATGTCTGTTTAATTATATGGGGACAAATATCTCGTTTTCTATTAGTTTTATTAGCTTTGATTTATCACAACACTTGATTGATGAAGACAAACTTTAGAATTGAAACGTCGATATATATTGAGTTCCTTTTTGTATCCAGAATTATTTTAACAGATCCGCCACTCATAAATATCATAATAAAAGCAACAAGAGAATACATCGGCCACACATCACATAAAGGAATAACACTGTTCCTAATGAGATCATTACGGTGACCATCAAAATTATCCATAGTCTTCATTAACCTGCATCTTTGGAAACCCTGTGTAGTAAGTTTGTCTGTCAACAGTCGTCCTTTTGGAACCCTGTGTAATAAGTTTGTCTGTCAACAGTCGTCCTTTGGAAACCCTGTGTAGTAAGTTTGTCTGTCAACAGTCGTCCTTTAGAAACCCTGTGTAGTAAGTGTGTCTGTCAACAGTCGTCCTTTAGAAACCTTGTGTGGTAAGTTTGTCTGTCAACAGTCGTCCTTTGGAAACCCTGTGTAGTAAGTTTGTCTGTCAACAGTCGTCCTTTGGAAACCCTGTGTAGTAAGTTTGTCTGTCAACAGTCGTCCTTTGGAAACCCTGTGTAGTAAGTTTGTCTGTCAACAGTCGTCCTTTGGAAACCCTGTGTAGTAAGTTTGTCTGTCAACAGTCGTCCTTTGGAAACCCTGTGTAGTAAGTTTGTCTGTCAACAGTCGTCCTTTGGAAACCCTGTGTAGTAAGTTTGTCTGTCAACAGTCGTCCTTTGGAAACCCTGTGTAGTAAGTTTGTCTGTCAACAGTCGTCCTTTGGAAACCCTGTGTAGTAAGTTTGTCTTTCCACATTCGTTCTTTAGAAACCCTGTGCAGTAAGTTTGTCTGTCAACAGTCGTCCTTTAGAAACCCTGTGTGGTAAGTTTGTCTGTCAACAGTCGTCCTTTAGAAACCCTGTGTATTAAGTGTGTCTGTCAACAGTCGTCCTCTGGAAACCCTGTGTGGTAAGTTTGTCTGTCAACAGTCGTCCTCTGGAAACCCTGTGTGGTAAGTTTGTCTGTCAACAGTCGTCCTTTAGAAACCCCGTGTAGTAAGTTTGTCTGTCAACAGTCGATATTATCGACAACATCATGATATTCGGATCAAAGCTCATGAGTTCCGATACAACTGCAACTTGTAAAATTTGTCGGTTGGGAAACAGAAAGGGAAGAGTCTGTAGTGTCCTTTAATTTAGTTTAAAGAAGGTTTAGACGATCGAAATGATCAATAAATGTCTTGTTATCTAGAGATAAATTCCTCATATAAAAACAAAAAGATAAATCTTCCAGAAAGGGGCACGGTTTGTTCCTTAAGAATGAAAGTCTGATGGAAGTTCTTGCCAACAAACTCCCGAAGATTTTGTTAACCAGGAATTCAATCATTCTTAAATTTTTATCCTCGGCTAAATTCATTTTGACATGTTTTTTTCCAGGTTAGTAGTTTGAATGTTACCTTTACGCCTCCTGTTGGCCCTCGTGGGGACTTCCAATTATACAATGCAAATGGATTCGTGCACGGTGCTGCTACCTATTACAACAAGTTAGAGTCCTTGGCCAAACCAAACTCTAGTATTACTATAATCGGCCCAAAACCTGATCCACATTCCGGTAAGTGAATGTAATATTAACGCATATGTTTCTAAATAAAAACGGGGCATTTATTATAGATAACAATGTAGTTAATGACATGTAAAATCATTTGTACTAAAATGCAGAAAAAGATAGCTCTTATCATATCGAGGTCAGTGCCCCGCAGCTTATATTAATGATTTAAAAATGATCGGATTGTACTCTTGTTAATATTTCTTTCTTGTCAACCAGGTCTGATCATGACTTCCACGATTCCAGTATTTCACAACAAAACGTTATATGGTGTGGCGGCCATCGATACCTCCCTGCCAACCATATTTGCTGAAATACTTCATTTCGATATTGGAGTTCATAGCTACGCATATCTCATGGAAAGCCAGCATGGTAAGTAGGCTTATTCTCAGTTTCTTTCATATATTATTTCATAAGATTGTGATTATACTTACATACGAATGGTTTAACTACAAAATATATACATTTTTGAAAATGCAGATACAACTTAATTTTCAAAGCAATATGGCATTACCGGACAAAATACGTCAATTTACATAAATATAAACAGCTATTTGAGACCTCTTTTTATTTGTTAAGGACACGTCCTGTTGCATCCTAAACTTAACGCTCCTGGGGAAATCCTGCAGGAAAGTCCCCTATTTCCTCACTTGTCGGTGGTGGAGCCAACCCTGAACAAGGTTCAAGTATTCAATCTCACGCATGCAGACACTGAGATACACCAGCTCAGAGCACAGGTATTAAATAACTCTTTGTAGCAACCCACGTACACTCTCTCCAGAGGTTTTGTATTTTGTACCAATTAAAATACCGTATAATTGTAACATATCTTTTGTACGGTAAAGAATATCTTTCTTTTATTGTATCCTCTTTACTTTTACCTGTCCATATTGAGTTTTACCCTTCTGTGTTAATACAGTGTTTCATTCTTCTTATTTACTTATTAAAAACTCTGACTACGACTATATTTATGATTTACCCTGATGTGTGTGTGTATGTACAGGTGCCAATGGGGAGGAGCTCATTCCAGTCTGGGACACCACTTGACAACTCGACGCCACAGAACGCCACACTAGTATACTCCAAAATATACGGCACACAGTTTGTACTCGTCCTCGTCAAGTTTGACTTAGACAGAGATATCCTTATTCCAAAACATCTAGCTCAGGTAATGTTTAGTCGTCTTTACACCCGGTATAAAAAGTAAATCGACTAGTATAATCGCAAAATGTGGAATTTCATAACCTCTGGTTTACCTATTAGTGAGGGTTAAAGTTTACGGCTATTATAATGTGTATATGGTTAAAAAAAAAATCAATTGGATTATAATTCAAACTTGATTTGAATTATAATGATATCAGGACAGTTTGATGATATGAAAATTAATACCCTTACAATAAGACTAATACCATTATAATCAACGGAGATTGAAAAGACTTGAAAAGTGAGCTTTATTTTTTCCGACAGTTACTAGCTTTATTAAATGTGTTTGGGAATTCATCACATCATTTTGTTAGGTAATCAATAGTTAAAAACATGTTTATATGTACGTTATACCTCTCTGTCACACACAACAACAAATAGCAGTTGTATTACAATTCATGTGACTGTTAATGCCCTATTGTTCCTATATAGTCATATTAATGTTAAAATCCGGTGTAGATCCGAAGTCATTTCTGGGAAATGTATGTTAGAAGTTATATATGTATCGTTTGTATTGTCAAAATAATAAATGTCCAAAATACAATTTGCATAAGATTTTTTTTTATATATTTATTTGAGAAAAGTCATAAGTCAGTTGAAATAATATGACGTTGGTATATATCGATCTTTTTACCTCCTGTCAGCTTATGTAGATGTTCATCACTTGAAGCAGTTTATCATATTTTCATGATTTAAGGCTAAGCTTTTCATAACTATTTACCAGGACTTTAAACTACATGCCCCATATCATCGTCTGGATGAGATATTTCAGTCCCCGATTCACAACAAGCCCCAAGACTCGGATGTTTGTTCTTTCCATGACAACTTCATCGCTACTAAAGAGTCGGTCATTAAGGTAAGCACACTTATATCCGGCTACTTTTTACCGTTTAATTGATTTTAAACACAGTATTCAATATTGGTTTTGTTTATAAATAAGATAAGTTTTTCGTATAAAATTACAAAAAATATGTTTATACTCCCACATAAATTATTCATCTCCAATTTAAAAAAATAAAACGTCGTGTCAATTGCTTTGGTTATGACGCCACAGGATAAAACAGAAATTTCTCCCACCCTTCACATGTGTGTCTCCCGTTTTAGCCGGGAAAGATCAGCTTGTCACTCCGTAGGGGGAAAAAGCCTCGTGCCGATTAGCACGTGCTCAATTGTGACGGTCATTAAAATTTGTCATCAGTAATTGTGACGTCATCAAAAGGGAATGACGATATACATACCCCACATGTGTTTTTGTTTACAAACATGGCAGACTACTGTCGATGGAGCTGTGACTGAAATAATAGGATGGGAGAAAAATTATCCCCTACCTTGAGGGTGTAACAGAGTAATCTCCAACCCTCGGGGTGATGCTTTTTGGTTGTCTAACCCGAGGCACTTGAGGGTGTAACAGAGAAATCTCCAACCCTCGGGTTGAATTTGTGTTTGGTTGTCTAACCCGAGGCTGTTAGACAACCAAAAAACATCACCCCAAGGGTTGGAGATTTCTCTGTCACACCCTCAAGGTAGGGCAAGATTCTATTAATCAACCAATTTATATTAGACACATTTTAAATATACTAAGTGCAGGTGTGATCGCTTATTTTGTTCCGAATACAATTCACCAACTCATAAACTTTCAATAATATATAAAACACACTCGTTACTGAATATTTGAATTTATCATCGAATACCACAGCGAAATATTTCATCGCTTTATTCAAGTTATTTTTCTGAATCTGCTAAATGTTATCGCTGTAAAGTGTTTAAGTTTGGCGTTTTATTTTCGTTATTTCTACGTTTTAATTTGTACAAGTTTTAGATAGTTGCTACTGATACACATGTTTTGAAATCTACATTCAATATCAATTTCCAGCTATCGCCATCAGTTTTTGTGCATCCTGAGCAGTACAAGTACTCTAAAGAAGATGTCAACCAGATACTCGAGATAAACAGCTTTTTGGAACATTCTAAAAACACCACTTTAATTAGACATGGTAAGTAACAAAAGTTTTGCTCATCGTAGCAAATGCCCCATGTTGACCACAGAAGAGCAAGTAGTATATATTAAATATACAACACCCTTAATTTGGGTTCTTTTTTTACGGTTAAGTCCACACTTTGCAGCTTCTTTTTTCTTCTAAGCAGTCGTAAATAAAACAAAACACGTCGTTATGAAATAAGATTTACTAGATGTTTTCAATAAAACGATAGAAAAGTTTATTTGGATTCTTTTTTTAGGTCACCTGAGCTTTGCTCAAGTGACCTATTCCAATCGCTTTTCGTCCGTCGTCGTCCGTCGTCCGTCGTCCGTCGTGCGTCGTGCGTCGTGCGTAAACTTTTACATTTTCAACTTCTTCTCAAGAACCAGTGGATGGATTTTTTTCAAACTTGGTCAGAATCATCCTTGGTAGATGAGGCTTCAAAATTGTAAAATTGGGATTCCTACCCCCACCCCCTGGGGCCAGGGCGGGGCCCCAAAGGGAAAATTATCCAATATTTCAAAAATCTTCTTCTCCAGACTCAGAGGTACTACAGTGATTTTCTCTACGTGGAAAGAAAGATCATCAGGGGCTTTACTTAAATTGTAAATTTCAGGACCCCCGAGCTATCCGTTCTCCCTTGGGGAGGGGGTAAAGTTTACTATAGTTTATATAGGGAAATAACACTTTTGGGTATATTTTGACAACTTTCTGTAGGAAATTATTTTTACTTGGTGAGAATTATCCTTGGAGGTAGATGGTTTCAAATTGTAAAATTGAGATTCCTACCCCGACCCCTGGGGCCAGGGCGGGGCCCCAAAGGGAAAATTAATCAATATTTCAAAAATCTTCTTCTCCAGACTCAGAGGTACTACAGTGATTTTCTCTACGTGGAAAGAAAGATCATCAGGGGCTTTACTTAAATTGTAAATTTCAGGACCCCCGAGCTATCCGTTCTCCCTTGGGGAGGGGGTAAAGTTTACTATAGTTTATATAGGGAAATAACACTTTTGGGTATATTTTGACAACTTTCTGTAGGAAATTATTTTTACTTGGTGAGAATTATCCTTGGAGGTAGATGGTTTCAAATTGTAAAATTGAGATTCCTACCCCGACCCCTGGGGCCAGGGCGGGGCCCCAAAGGGAAAATTAATCAATATTTCAAAAATCTTCTTCTCCAGACTCAGAGGTACTACAGTGATTTTCTCTACGTGGAAAGAAAGATCATCAGGGGCTTTACTTAAATTGTAAATTTCAGGACCCCCGAGCTATCCGTTCTCCCTTGGGGAGGGGGTAAAGTTTACTATAGTTTATATAGGGAAATAACACTTTTGGGTATATTTTGACAACTTTCTGTAGGAAATTATTTTTACTTGGTGAGAATTATCCTTGGAGGTAGATGGTTTCAAATTGTAAAATTGAGATTCCTACCCCGACCCCTGGGGCCAGGGCGGGGCCCCAAAGGGAAAATTAATCAATATTTCAAAAATCTTCTTCTCCAGACTCAGAGGTACTACAGTGATTTTCTCTACGTGGAAAGAAAGATCATCAGGGGCTTTACTTAAATTGTAAATTTCAGGACCCCCGAGCTATCCGTTCTCCCTTGGGGAGGGGGTAAAGTTTACTATAGTTTATATAGGGAAATAACACTTTTGGGTATATTTTGACAACTTTCTGTAGGAAATTATTTTTACTTGGTGAGAATTATCCTTGGAGGTAGATGGTTTCAAATTGTAAAATTGAGATTCCTACCCCGACCCCTGGGGCCAGGGCGGGGCCCCAAAGGGAAAATTAATCAATATTTCAAAAATCTTCTTCTCCAGACTCAGAGGTACTACAGTGATTTTCTCTACGTGGAAAGAAAGATCATCAGGGGCTTTACTTAAATTGTAAATTTCAGGACCCCCGAGCTATCCGTTCTCCCTTGGGGAGGGGGTAAAGTTTACTATAGTTTATATAGGGAAATAACACTTTTGGGTATATTTTGACAACTTTCTGTAGGAAATTATTTTTACTTGGTGAGAATTATCCTTGGAGGTAGATGGTTTCAAATTGTAAAATTGAGATTCCTACCCCGACCCCTGGGGCCAGGGCGGGGCCCCAAAGGGAAAATTAATCAATATTTCAAAAATCTTCTTCTCCAGACTCAGAGGTACTACAGTGATTTTCTTTACGTGGAAAGAAAGATCATCAGGGGCTTTATTTAAATTGAAAATATCAGGACCCCGAGCTATCCGTTCTCCCTTGGGGAGGGGTTAACGTTTAATATAGTTTATATAGGGAAATAACACTTTTCGGTATATATTTTATCCATTTTCAGCAGAAAATTGCTCAAACTTAGTCAGAATCATCTTGGGTAAATGAGAGTTTTACTTTGTAAAATTAGGATTCCTGCCCCATCCCCAGGGGCTAGGGCGGGGCCCCAAAGGGAACATTTACCAATATTTTCAAATTCTTATCCATTGATGACATGACAAGTATTGTATTTCACTTAGTTTACATGCTGATTTCCACATCACATCTAAACAATAAAATAAAGCTACCAGTACCTATGATATAACTCAGGTGACCGCTAAGGCCCTTGGGCCTCTTGTTTATTTTACATATCGAGAAACCTAATTTGAGACATAGGCAGTTTGTATATTTACCGGTACTGTACAGTGTTTTTTTTATAAACCTGATTATATCAAACAAATTATCGATAATTCGTTAAGGTAGCATAAGGTAGCATAAGGTAGCATAAGGTTAAATTTTCGTTGAGTCCCTAACAAGAAATATTTCGAAGATAAATCATTGATATTTTACAAAGCTTGATTTTCGTTAAATTGTAAATACTACTGTTAAATACCTGCGTCACTTTTACAGAAATAAAAGAGGAAATTGAGCACATTTTGAGATCCACTAATGAAATTGATGATTTATGGAGACCTACAGCCAAACGGGTCTTGGAGAGGTAAGGCGTTTTTCCCGGATAAAATAATGTTATTAACAATTTCCGATAAGATAATATTTCAATATTTCTTCTTCACATTTTGCAGTGTCAAGATAATATTTCACTTAGTTTTTCCACGTGTCGTATTTGCTTATTTTAATGCTGGTGGATGGTACCTCTGAAAATCAGTAATGATGGGGCACGGCTCATGTTATCAGTCCAAGTCCTGTTGGATTGGAGCATGTTATAGTGACTTCGTTTAAGTTGTTGAAAGATAAGAAGAAAGATATGATAATTTAGCTATACCTCAATGAACCAAACTCCAAATACAGTCGTTTTGGTGAATTGCAGGTACAGTTTAACAGAGTAAAGTTAGTTGTGGGTATTTAATTTTTAACTATTTCCCTAAATTGATTTTTTTTCAGCTTATGTCGTAAAGCTTAAAAAAGAAATCGTTCATGATGAGATCGTAAACAAAATAATTGGCACGGTATTTGTAATTCTAAAGTTGTTCGTTGATGAAATTATAACGGAATATTGTGTTTTGTGAGAAAAATCCCAGAAATGAGAAGATATGTATGAACTATCAATTGAATTGTCTGTTTGAATAAAATCATAAGGAATAACCAGATTTACATACCGAAAAATTAGGCACTTTTCATAAATCCGCGGAAATAATCATGGTTATTCCACGAAGCAAAATTATCATATGATACACGTACATATCTGACCAACATGAAATTAATACCGTTTAATCTGGTTAAAAATGTATGTTCACATTCATTTTGCACTGTACTGATAAACCGCAAGGTTTAAGGTAACATATAATACTTGTTGGTGATTAACAAGGTCTGAATAATCACACCATCATTGTGTTGTACACAAGGTCAGTGTGAATGACACAAGATCCAAGAGCAAACTTCTGTTGCCAATTATTGTTAGATAACGACATAAATCGTTCGTTTCAATCAAACTGTATGCACTTTAAAATGTCTAAAACAATTAGCCTACAAGGGTGCAGAAAAATAATGTTTTGTTATTTTTCTGTAGCAAAAACAAAAATTGAAACTGATGTGTTATGAGTCAATGTAATCTTTGCTATTATTCTTTCTACTCGTAAGATATTTTGGAACACCCACGGGAGTTTTGAGAATATTTCCAGGGATGCCTTTTCGAAATACCTACAACCATGTCCGTCAGTTATGGTAGGTATTAATGTTAACTGTTGGATCAGAATATTGTAAAAATACAACATCTTGAACATAAATAATATTACTTTCACTGTCGATGCATGCTTTTTTCTCTATAGTTTTCTTTTATTGTAACCAATATCATTATCTGCCGTTCAAAATATGTGTAATTTCGAATTTTGACGTCTAAATAGAAATCTGTAAACATTTCATAACCTTGAAAGTGAGCAAAAGTACTAGTTCCAGTTTCCTTCCTTTGTATTTGAATAAGCCATGAATGTGTTTCACATCAGCATAAAAAGCACAAGTGTACAGTATGTTAGGAATGCCATTGTCACTTCATTTTATTAAAGGCATCATTATCCTCTCAAAAAATTCACGTTCATATAAACTGCTTTTTGTGCTTGGAAGGTCTTTACAAGCTGATTGACGTTCACTTTTATCTTGTAACAATGTCGATATTGGCTATAATAGGTGCGGATCCATATTACATAAGTTGCAACAAAATTGTGGTTTCCAGGTTTAGAAAAAGTGTTGCCCTACCACATCAGTTTGTGTTTTCATCAGGACCATTCAGTCGCTTCCGTGACAGAAATATGGTATTAATGAGTAAAGCAGTATCAGACAATAGGTGAGTATGTTACTTGAGAGGGGGTAAATAGGTGAGTATGCTGCTTGAGAGAGGGTAAATTAACGATTGAACGGTAACTTTACTTCACTAAGGTTTCAATAATACATGGGTAATAATAAATTTGTCCATATATGAGCGCATTTCGCGCTATTTAGAAAACGCTAAATTTTGAGACCGCTAATATAAAAGCAAGCTATCCCTGGATATTCTAGACAATTTTAGTGCTAAAATCATACTGTGTGTAACTTTAAAATCATCTCAAATGTGTGCTTGACTTGAAGATCCCCGTACCACTGCCAAAAACTGTAACTACGCTGAGGAAACGGGGTTGGTTTTTGGTATGCCTGTACATTTAATGAATAAGTTCTGAAAAGAAAACAATACCTTGCGGGACTTTTACTTGAAATAAAGGAAAGATAGAATAAACAAAATATAATCAACAAAAGTGTCCTAGTTGTGAAAGTTAAGAGGTGCAAGACCGGTATTCGAACCCTGAACTTCCTGTTGTTACACTATCGCTCTAACCGACCGAGGTAGCCAGTCAACGCTCTAACCGACCGAGGTACCTGGTCAACGCTCTAACAGACCGAGGTACCCGGTCAACGCTCTAACAGACCGTGGTACCCGGTCAACGCTCTAACAGACCGAGGTACCCGGTCCACGCTCTAACCGACCGAGGTACCCGGTCAACGCTCTTACCAACCGAGGTACCCGGTCAACGCTCTAACCAACCGAGGGACCCGGTCAACGCTCTAACCGACCGAGGTACCCGGTCAACGCTCTTACCAACCGAGGTACCCGGTCAACGCTCTAACCAACCGAGGGACCCGGTCAACGCTCTAACCGACCGAGGTACCCGGTCAACGCTCTAACCGACGGAGGTACCCGGTCAACGCTCTTACCAACCGAGGTACCCAGTCAACGCTCTAACCAACCGAGGTACACGGTCAACGCTCTAACAGACCGAGGTACCCGGTCAACACTCTAACCAACCGAGGTACCCGGTCAACGCTCTTACCAACCGAGGTACCCGGTCAACGCTCTAACCAACCGAGGTACCCGGTCAACGCTCTAACCGACCGAGGTACCCGGTCAACGCATACGCTCTGGCGCATGCCAGTTATATCCAACACAAAATTAAAGGGAGGTTACTGTTTATAGTGGAGCTTCAACTTGTGTCCTTGAGTCCGTATTGCTAAACAGGGTTTATATCCTTAAAAAAGAATCTTACTGTATGTTATTGTAAATATTGAACAGCTATGTACCAAGGACATTGCTTGAAACATATGATCAGACAAAGGGGTGTTTAAGAAATTTGTAATTCTAACAAAATACAAATACCTATAACACCCCTTCCATTTTTAACTTTGAGAGAACTATGTTGATCGTTCAACAGGGGATAAGTCCTAATCGTGTGTATAACACTCGTATCTACCAAGATTCTATAGCAAATGTGTGACATCGTTGATATTCTTTTGTCAGCTAGAAATAATGTTATCGTTATGAAATGCATATGATTTCGTAACATACAACTTTTTTTATTTTTCTTTATTATATTTTATCATATTTATTATATTATATTATATTTTTTTATTTTATATTATTTTTATATTTTGTAGAAATATTAAAATAAAAAATATATAAAAAAGTATTAAAACACTCAACTTTATTGTAGACGTAAGATATGGAATGATCTGCTGATATATGGCATGTGTTTGGCTTATCCTTAATGTTCCCGTCCTAGAGAGACGGATTCCCAGATTTCACCTTTGGTGAAACAGCTTCAAGGTGTGGTAGGCGTGGTCATCTCACATAGACAGCTTACCGCCATGCTGTACCAGGTATGTTAATACATCGGGCTGACGTTGGCCTTTTCTTTATGATATAGTCTTGCGACTTTACAAGCATATTCAGTTAGTCGTGATACCTCTTAGTTCCGATTGGTCAGTTAAGAGTCCAGTTTACATTTCCCATTACATGACTAATTAAAGTGCATCGTTTTATTGCACCATATCTTTTAAAGGAATATAAAAATATTCGTATTAGGCAAATTCAAAGATTTTTATCTCTAGCAAGACAAAATGCAAGTTAACACATTAAATTGTAAGAACTAATTAACAGTTGTCCTATAAATTCCAAGCACACTCATTGGCTAGAGTCACCTTGTAGTTCGTTTCGGTTCTTCTAGGCAACATTCCTTTTTGTTACATTTCATCATATGCATGTTTTTTGAAGATTCTGACATGGATTTTCTTCCTTTTGAGCTTAGGCACAGAGGAGTCCTAAATAAACTAAAATTGTCACGCAGTGTAATTTATCAACAAAATTCATGTTTAAATATTGGCTTCATCAGTATTTCTACTGATTAATTTTCGTTACTAGATGGACAATCAGGCTTCGAGGTTGTCAGTAACTGTATAGCTAGAATTTATTCTGACACTGTTTATATGACATACTTGTTCAAGAACAAATTGTCTGCTGTAGACAATGTTATAATGTTGTCAAGGCACCTTTCCCTTTTGCTGTTTTTCTCAAAACATCTCCGTGATGGCTTTTCAGTCTTTTGACCTTAGTACATCTAATGAATATTTCTTCTAGTGAATTTTTATCTGGATTTTTAGATGATTGTTCATTTAAACCTTCATATCATGTGTATTAAAAGATTGTTCAATGTGACCGTGATTTGAATGTAGTCCGATCAAAATCTATCGTTATGATTTCGTCCGTTGAACTCGCAGGTTTCAGGCTGTGGAGGATCCGACCTAGAATGTCATCTACTGGATAATAACGGGTAGGTATAATGCATAATGTTTTATTGTATTTTCAGTTTATTGTTTTCATTATTTGTTTTATTAAAATGTAGAAATACATATATGTTAAACTGAATTTGAAAATTTATTACGACATATTTCTTTTTGGAAAGTCACATCTGACCACTGCTCTAATAAGAATGAAATGTTTACATACCTGTTGGCAGGTATTTTATAACCTCTGACAGAAGGGTCACAACATCGCGTCACATAACACAACGCTTCTCTTGGTTGGCGAGTCATCTCATAAAAACCAAAAAAATGGAGGTAATATTTTTAGTGTGAAACTTACACCAGTCATGAATTTATTTAATATATGCTTATATTTTTATTGGTCCTCATCTAATATTCTTCGAACTTCAACGATGGTTGCAATGAAATAAAAAAATCGTTCTGCGGCGATTAAATTCCGAATATAACTTTTGAGTCAGGATAACTGTATCTTTCATGAGAATGTGCATGTGCAAAAATATCAAAAGATGATGTATCTAATGATATATTGAACATTTGACTATAGACAAGGGAAGTTTGATTTTTTTTCTCTCATAATTTTGCTTATGCACCTTCTACCTTCAAATTTATATAAAGTCATAATTTACCATGATTTATCAAATATTGTTCTGCTATACAATGTAGCGATGTTTCAGTTTATCGAAACGAAAAATGTACTAAAGCTTACACCTCCTGAACACCTGGTCTTGACAAAATGTGTTTCCATGATGTTTTCTTATTAGTTTTGGACTCTTTCAGTTCTTGTAGTTGTCTTTTCACATCGACTCGAATGTCCAATTTTGTTCTTTCTTTTTTAACATATCTCCCTATCAGTGGTTTGTCGTTCTGTTTATTACCTAGCCCTTTTGGTGTACAAGACTGTCGGAGGGCCAGCATAGGTTATCATACACGATGAAAGTGACATTTGACCAGAGAACACAGCCAAACAAGTGCCAGAGTTACGTCATCGGATTAGTGACGGGAACCAACTTGTATCTGTTAGTCCTCTACAACAGGACCAAGTCTGGTTGTGAGAGAAGCTTCAATGACACAGATGTAAGTGATTGTACGACAGCACTGAGATGTACGCAGAACTGAAAAAATGAACCTTGGTCTACAATAGGTACATGCATTACTATTTGATCCTATTCCTAACCGTCAGATCAACTAGCAAGCAATATTATTTTGCTAAAAGTAGCTCTGCGTAATCTAAATGTTATTTGTTAAACCAGATTTAATGTTCAAAGAAAACGATTGATTGGAAATGGGATATAAGGCTTTACTTCGTAAACGCTGATGTTTTTTACATATGTTGATAATTCAGTGTTCTTTTACAAAACTAAAGAAAGAAAGAAATCAAATGAAAATATTGTGTTAAAGGGTAAATATACTTTAATGCAAAGAATAAAAATTAAATCACCGTTATTGCTATATGTGTTGTACGTTGAAATATAATTTAAAGATTGTATAACAAGAAAAGGAAGTCATCTTTAACCTAGTGATTATTTTACTTAAGAATGCGATTGACGCTGTTGGTGGACTATCAGTCCCCAAGGTTGTAGTTGGGTTTAAGGGAAATATTAGTTTCAGCATCAATCTTATGTTGTGGCCAAAAGTTGAAGATTTGTAACGTTGTAAATTGTTTCATAAGCACCCTTTTCTGTATTTTACAGGATACGAAACACTTAAGACATGGAACATGTCGCAACGTGTCAAAGCCGACCGTTAAATACATACATTGTTAGTGTATAAAGTAAAACTTTGCGATAACATATTGCCAAACTGATTGATCTTATTGACGACTTTAGACGTGGATTTCATATTCTTTATGTTTTAAGCACAACTTACGAAATGGCCATATAGTTATATAGGTAAAATATTTACATAGTCTTTCTGCATTAACAAAAAGATTTTCTAAAAGGTTGTTCCCATTTTTCGTGTTTCTAGTGATTATTCTAATATTCGTAAATTCTTAACATATTGTTTGTTAATATTTGAATACATAATTTTGTCCACAATTTTTCCATTTCCCTGATGATAAACCGACTTTTGTCTCTGTTACAGTCATGTGTGATAGGTGACAATGGTCAATGTCACGAGTGCCTAACCAGTAATGATCACTGCGAGAGTCCATGTCAGTGTTCGGCCGACTTTGACCCGTGTTCCAGTCGCTATAACCTTCATGACACGCGCAATACTGCCTGCTATAGTACGTATTCTGAGTAAATATATACAGTACAATGTACTTTAAACCAATTGCATTCCTGTTGTTGCCCTTTCTTGTCAAGATAAGGGTCCAATTTTACGTGTTGTAAACTGTGTTTTTGTGTCCGTGCCATGTGGCTGATTAAGGGAGGTATCTATAATTGCAGAGGATTTTTCAGGAAATGTCGCTTTGATGGAAGATGTCTCCCAAAGGCCGTATGTTATTATAAATGTGCAAATGTTAACATTGCTGTGTTGCTCTCGAAAGGTAGTTGTCTTAAATGTAGATTCTGATGAAAAGTATTTGATTTGTCTTTACATATTGCGATGTACAGACATATTCCTGTATATGTTATTTTCTCCATTAGATATTCAAGAGCATCCACTTTTTAATGCGTAATACAACCTTCATTAGGTATACAGATGGACAGTTTTACAATGCATTTCATTTTTGTCTGTACTGTTCTCGCTGCAATGACTACAACATTGATAAACGGAAAACTGATTACCTTTGTTTTACAGATGATCCTCTTGTTGATGATCAAGTTCCGCCATCTTTTCAACCGAAACCACCAAAGAGTGACGTCCCAAGTTGTTCTGTGCCTTGTGTTTCTGTGTGGGTTAATTGTAAATGAGTAAACAATAGACTTAATGCACGATTTTGTATGTTTACTGTTATCATTGTTTTTGGCATCACTAGCATCCCAGAACAGCACATTACCTGTGTTTCCCCGTAGTAAACACTATCTGTAAAGCTTTATGTATGTGCGGTCGTACGCACATATCTTTGAACAAAGTAATGACATACTACATTATGAAAGCTACATATGTCAGTCAAGTGAAAACTGTCAGATTAAGATTTAATGTTTACAACAGGTCATACGTAGGGCAGAAAACATTGATCATGCACTTACATATTTAGATTTTATTTCTCAAGTGGCATATATTAAATGTTTTTGAGGCTGGGCAAAATAATCAAAACATTTTGTTACGCTGTTTTGTTTTTGTATTTCCATAGAGAGGATAAGGAGGAGTGCCTCGGCTTCCCACACTGTCATTGGGGGGGAGATGTTATGGACTTCCCGACCTGTGTCTGGAGGAACATTTCGGACCTTGCCCCTCCAACATCAAAGATGACCACACCAGGAGTACCAATACCGCCATTGAAACCCCCTCCGAAGCAGACAATTATACCTCCTGGTGCTGGAAGCGCTATGCCATCTATAATTGCACCATTAAAGATAACTACAACGAATACTTCTCAAACTATGCCGGTGAATTTTCCTCCAACGAAAATCTCAACACATCATCCAACAGCACCAATGTTTAATAACTACACAAACATACCCTCAGTGGTACCAACGAAGATGACAGGTTTCACTCCTGATATGAAACAAACAAAAGACATGACAACCACATCGACACAGACCACTATTTCTCGTAGCTCCACTCCATCCAAACACACCACCAGTGTAGAACATCCAACCACGTCAACGATTGATCCTGCACACAAAACGACACCGTCACGACAAAATATGTCTCAAAAGAATCGCAAAACGTAAGTGTTATGATTATATGCATAATAAAATGGATTGTAATACTTTAGGAATTTTAGGATAATTATATTTTCAAAGAATTCGTATTGGTTGAAATTTGACCGACTATCTCGCAAATGAATTGAGAACATTAAACACACCTCCTTTATTTTTAAATTTGATTTGATTTCAAACAAAACAAAATATTTATTTTGACATATGATTGAAGCAACGTATAATAAGGATATATAGTTTTAATAGAATAGCTGCCCCATATATTATGTTAATTAAATATATGAAATAAGTTTGATAACAATATAATCTTGTATTTCTTTTAGAAATAAGTGACACTTTTGTTGTTTTAGTGAGAGTACTGACAATAAAACCGGATTAGTGGTTGGATTAATCGTGGCAGCTGTCGTATTAACATTGATCGTTGGACTAGTTGTTTACAAAGTGAGACAGAGGCTGAAAAGTCAGTCGAGTAAGTACATTATTTTACATATTTATGCAGTGTCACTTTTTTTCTGAAGATTTATTATATCCATTTTGTAAGCTTCAATTTAATTTCGAAAATCACTTAACAGGGCGTTTCTCTCTTTGTAGTTATTTTGATTAGATTGCACAACTTTTAACATATATTTTTCGATACTGTTAGAGCGTTTTACACAGTACTGTGAATATAGATAGATAGATATAGAAAGATGGCTATATAATACCGCGCTGCAAATTGATCTGATATAATTGTTACGGCACTGTTTATATACATGTATTTTATACAATACTGTTAATATGTACGACATCCGTTAAGGACATTCTATACATTATTGTGAATTGATTTGGAACATCACTCTTAATGTATTTTATACAGCACTGTAGAAATATCTGATACAGTAATGCAAATGTATGGGACAAAGTGTTAATTAAATACACATTAAAAGAAATGGGAATCGGTTTTATATGCTATATTAATTTGGTTGTAGATGGTAATTACACCAGAAAGGGCAGTGTATTTGATGGAGTTTTGTTCAATAGAACCTCGGACGAAGCAGAGCTCACACAAACGTCTCAACCTTACCAACAAATCATGTGACCTTTAAATACCATTTAAATGAGACCCAGAGGAAGTCGTATGATCTTATTACAATGGAATCATTTCAAGGGAGTCTTGGACCATAAAACTAATGTAAAAAATATCGTTCTTGGTATGTGCCGGCCTGTTTGATTGACGTCAAGAAAAAAGGAACTGAAATTGTATGGCAACCAAATCCGAATAGACGTTTCAACTATGATATCACAAACGAATGTTGTCGTAGGTTGCATTGAAATGACTAAGTGTTGTTGCACAGTTGGCGATGTGGCCTCGTCTTTGGAGAATTGTCAATTTTGGTGACATTTATTTCTTTTTCTTTAATTCAATTATCCAGTTACAGTAATTTTAAAAATGTCCATGTTATGTCATAAATAGCACTCATATATTTCTGTGCTGTGTATTTTATTATACAAATAACATTATTAACCATGTAACTCTTTCACTTGTTCGTAGGGTTTTATACAAAAATAGTTTTCCAATTTGTCTTTGTTATTCTTTTATTAGTAGCAAGTTCTTGTAACATTGCCATGCTTATTATAGCGATTTTGTTTTTAGTTTCTAATCTGTAATTGTGCTTTGACACTTAGGGAGACATATCAAGAAACTGTCAAAAGAAACCCATAATAACAATGATAAAAAGGTACATTATGTACATTGAAATATGTTTGAGGTAAGCCAGGTGGAAAATAAAATAAAATGTGTTATATTGAAGATTTCATGCATTCATAAACTATATACTGTAAAACATGTACTACATACATGATTTACTGTTTAAATAAAAGAGTGTATCAAGGTTTCACTGTATACCCGCTGTTAATTTACTTCTGGAATGATAGTAAGCCCTATTATATGAGTGATGTATAAGAATGACACTCATAAGTATATCCTAAGTAAATCACAACGTCGTCAAAACTCCTTTCAGAGGTTATGTTGAATCGATCATTACACCAAACTAAAGACAGCAATTACATGTAGACTCTGAAGCCTATGTTCTCCAACTTGACAGTTATCATGAAAAGCAGTGCAGTGAACCTGAAATAAACATGTAAAATATTTAAAAATCCAGATGGTAGGATATCAATTACCATGTATGGACAGGTGGCAAAGACAACAAAGGAAATGAATGTTTATAGTTAGCAAGTTCAGACAAAATTTTACGTATCTTACTAGGCATAACAATGCAAAAGAAAACAGAATAGGAACTTACAATGGGTCGAGCACTGTTCCAACGAGATGTTCACCAGTGAGGAAAACATATGATGATAGATGTTGCAAAATTAGGGCAATTGCACGATTACATCATGACATTGCACAGAAACTAGCTTTAATACAAAATTGAACAAGAGGCCCAGGGGGCCTGTATCGGTCACCTGGTTATTTAAGCAATCATGGCCCAATATTTACATTTGCTCTGTAATACCAGTTAGTAACCACTTCATACATGTAGGGTAAGAACTTGGAAGCGTTACTATGGAGACGTTATAATTCATAAAGAATTAAGGTTGTTACTATTACTAGCACATTAGTTGGGTTGGAGATAAAAAGTATGTGATGGCTGTTAATTTGTCGAATTGTCTATATAAATAATACCAAACTTTACCCCCTCCCCAAAGGCAAACGAGGGACCTGGGGCACATGAAAATCACAAAGTATATAAACCACTCGAAGGCCTTTACAACTATGAGTAGTATATCATACTAGCATTTCTGGAACTGCAGAAGAAGATTTTTGAAATTCGCCTCCTTTTTCACCCCAAACCCAGCCCCCTAGGGGGTCAGGGTAAAAAAAAATATACCAGCAGACCTTCCTCCCCTTACAAGTATTTCTGTCAAATATGAGCGAACTCCGTTCAAAACATTGGAAGATATGGCCTATTATGTATATTTCCAATATAAACTATACTAAATTTCACCCCCTCACCAGGGGCAAACGGGCCGGGGGGCCTGGTAGACATGAAAATCATAATTTTTATAAACCACCCAAACGCTTTCACAGCTATGGGTAGTATTTGATCCTGGCATTTTTGTAACTAGAGAAGATTTTTGAAATTTTCCCAAATTTCTCCCCTTTTATGCCCCTTACTCAGCCCGCTAGGGGTCATACTCATAAATATTATACCAGCAGACCTCCCTCCCCTAACAAGCATTTCTGTCACATATGAGCAAATTATGTTCAAAACATTGGAAGATATGGCCTATTATGTCTATTTCATATATAAACTATTCTAAATTTCACCCCCTCCTCAGGGGCAAACCGGGGCCCTGGGAGACATGAAAATCACAAATTTTATAAAAAACCTAAATGCCATTACAGCTATGGGTAGTATTTGATTCTAGCATTTCTAGAACTGGAGAAGAAGATTTTTGAAATTTCCCTAAATTCCCCCCTCCCCTTTTCGGCTCCTAACTCAGCCCCATAGGGGGGCAGGCACACACGATTTATACCAGCAGACCCTCCTCCCCTAATTAGTATTTCTCTGAAATGTGAACAAATTATTTTCAAAACAATGGAAGATATGGCCCGTCATGTCTATTTCCGATATAAACTATACTAAATTTTACCCCCTCCTCAGGGGCAAACGGGGGCCCTGGGAGACATGAAAGTCACAAATTGTATAAACCACCCAAATGCATTTACAGCTATGGGTAGTATTTGATCCTAGCATTGTTATAACTAAAGAAGATTTTCAAAAAATTCTCAAATCCCCCCTTTTTAGCCATGAGAACACATTTTTATAATTGAGGTTGAAAAATATAGAAGCTTATATTATCTGTAGCTTTATGAACCCTTTTTCTATTATATGATATTTCCAAATATACTGCATCCTATGTCATCAATTTGATTTCAGCATTCAAACATTTTCCCATCAGGCTTTAGCAGTCATTTGCAACTACTTTTAAAAATTGCAAATTGCAAAGAAATGAGAGAGTTACGGGTTAATGGAGACTATGAGCAAATTTTATGGTCGTCATCATGATGCCAATGACAAAAAAAATAAAATCTTGTACAAAATTAAGTTCGACTTTTTTAACTCAGTGTCCCTTTTAGCTTCATTGTCACTGCCCCTAATCTCTCATAGAGAACGAGGCATCAATCTGGATTTCTCAAATGGAAAACTGTTGTGCATCATCTACTTGCAGTTTTCTGGAGCATATGACTACTTAAGGATTTTCCATTATTCCTATGTAAACTATCCTAATTGAAGTTTTAAGTGATCTTACATGGAAACAATGTCATACAATCACAGTTTGAAAGGGCTTCTGAAAATGTTTTTTCCAGTTTTCATCAAGGTCTAGTTTGTTGGTTATTCTACCACCTTAATTAGCTGGAAGACCATTCCACCTTTGCATAACAAGAGCTGTTGGAGAACAGCATAGCTCACCTATTGGTGATATATGTTGTGAGATATAGCAAATATCAATAGAAACACATGTACAGTAAAACCTTGATATAATGGCAGTCATTTCATTTGCCACCTCTCTTACTGCCAACATATTTCAAGAACTATGTTTTTCTTCAGAATTCCTTTATACGTTTCCCTAAATTTATTGCCAAATCCCTTTATAATGCCAATATTTCTTTGAACAAATGGTGGCAATATAAGAAGGTTTTGCTGTACCTAAACATGTTGTACATTTCAAAAGAGATGACCAGGCAATGTGAAATAGATGGTGTTGACTGATCCAACACTGCACATGCAGACTTGCCCAAAAAATTTAACCAAGTCAAATTATGCAGTTTTGGCCCCCAAAAAATATGAAAATATGGTTCAGCTCATGGCTTACACTTCATATAAATACTTCAACCTTATAATAAAAAACAGCGTATCGATGGTGGCGATCCAACACTTCACAAAATATCTTGCTCAAAAACTTTAACCAAGTCCAATTAAGCTATTTTTGGCCCCTAAAATATGAAAATATGGTTCAGCACATTGCTAACACTCCAAATAAAATAAATTCTGTATTGATGATTTAATTTCACATTCATGCAGATTCATAAATTGATGATGTATTGTCTATAACCAACAAAACTTTTAATAATTTATTCCATCATTTCTTGTTCGCACATTTCATATGTGCATTCCTTTATTCACGAGGGAAAAAAACATAAAAATCTTCCCCTTCCTTGTGACTGTGACAGAGAAATCTCCAAGCCGAGGGGTGATATTTATGGTGGTTTAACCCGAGTATTGGAGGTTTCTCAGTAACACACAGAATGTAGGGGACGATTATTATTCTCACTTCCAATTATCTCGGTCACAAATTTACCAATAGTAGTCAGGAATGTTGGTAAACAAAAGCACATGTGGCGTTTAAATATCACCATTCACTTTTTATGACGTAACACTTTAGCACATGTTATTCTTGTAAAAAGAAATATCAGAGAAATTTATTTTCCAACATGTTGAAAACATTTTTGAATTCAAATAAAAAGTACAAATCAATTTTGATATAATGTTACATTTAATATCTATGGTTTATCATGTACATGTGAATGAATTAAATGTCTCCAATGGTCCGTCACAGTGAATATTTACAATGATCTTAAATTTGTCCATGTTTAACTGTCTGCAAATGTGGATGATGCTTCTGAAAGTCCTTTCCGTCTGAAAATTAAAACAAAATCTTATAAATTCCTTAAACAAACATAGTCATTATCAAGATATGGTATGGAATGGTATGCACAGAAATACAAATTGATGTTGCTTAAAAAATAATTAACTGGTGATAAAAAAATGTACTGTTTTCCTTTTTTTAAAATTAAAATAAAAAGGGGAACATCTATTGAAGTTGAATGATTCTTAATTTTGTTCAACCAAATGCCCTATCTTTTCCTGGTGGTACATGACCTTGTCTCATCCAGCTAGGGTTAAGACAACAGGATGAATTTCAATTACCTAATAATGGCTAACATCAATATAACACTATTACATAAATGAAAGGGCGAGCAGTTGAACATTTTGTTCTCTCTCTTTTTCTTGCCATTGACAGATGTATCCACACTTTTCTCATTTTGGAATACATCTATCCTTATCTCAGCCCAGGGTTAGGATGAGAAATTCTGCAGTCACAAGACTCACAACAAGTGTATGATGTCACATCAACCATGAATTGACCCCTTAAAGTCAGCATTGTATTATGACAGGGTAAACAGCATAACAGATAAACAATCATTTACCCCCTTGGGGCTGATATGGGGACCTCATGATCAGCCCTCAGGTAAAGACTCTGAAGTTGCCACACACTTGGCATTAGCCTCGTTTTTAACAACTAAAGAATCTTCCCCCTGGGATTCAGATCCCTTATCTCATGCAAAGGGGGTGAAACATTCTTTAAGTCTCATCCTAAAATTAAGAAGAGATGATTCCTGAATAATAACAAATGCACTGGTGCACCATCTATATTACATACATCATTAGATGGTTGACAGAACAAGAAAGTGATTGCTGCCCTCTTGGTAGTGTTGCAATATTACATGTATTATTAGATGGTTAATGTAACTGAATAAGAAAAGAACTTGCTGCTTTCCGGGATGTGAAATGGGAAGATTTCTGTGGTATTTGAATCAGGACCCACACATTTGAGATAGGACTAGGTTATTTGAAATAGAATTGAGGTATATAAAAAATCGGACAGGGTTATACAAGATATGACTGGAGTATTTTACATCTATGGCAGATTTACTTTCATGCAAATTGAAATGACAAATATTCTTCAGAAATTGTTTTAACAGAGAATATGTGGTACCTGTAGGTTATTTGAGATAGAATAGATTATTTGAGTCGGGACTGGATTAATTGAGATAGGACTAGACTAAATACATTCACATATTTGTTTATACAAACAGGAATAGCCTTACACTTCTTTAAAAATTGTTTCAAAAGAGACAACATAGTACAAACTACTTGTTAGTGTCACACTGGGAATTCTTGTGTGTGGAAATGTTCGTGTTGTTACTCTTTATAAAGTTATGGCAATGTGGACATTTAGGCATTGACAATAGATCTGAAGTCTTTATATTCTGTATATCTATAATCAAATATTCAGGGGTTGATATTTTTGCACTAACTTACAAAACATGAAGAGCATTAGCATTTCCACATCCTGAAATTGACAGTATTTGATATAGGACTAGATGATTTGATGTAGGACTGGGATATTCAAGACAGGACTGGGTTAGCTAGAAAGGTTATTTCATATTAGACATATATATGCATTTAATTTACAAATATATATAACTTACGCTTCTTTAAGAAATGTTTCAAAAGTAACTCTATCTTCTGCAGATCCTTCAGGACTCTGGTCAAAGTCTTTTACCCCAAGTGTCGTCAGAGCTGTTGATAAATACAACATCATAGGTTAAAGAAATATTTCTGAAATCTGCAAAACATTTTACATAAGGTATTTGAAAGATATGAAATGTAAATATCTTTTTGGAAACTGCAACTTTAGTATGAAATCAATTAAATATTGATTATGAACTATTCAATATCACTGTTTCCTAGGCCCTTGCTCAGGAAACCATTCTCATACTCAAGCATGATTTCAGTGCAAGAACTATCTTTCTTGTAAATTGGATTTGATAATTTAAGACCAGTGTTCTTTATTGTATCTCGGCTATACAAGATTTAATTGATACATTTTTCTGAAAGGAAGTTACTTCCCCATTCACAATAGTGAATACCAAAGATATTTAATAATTATCATAGTTTCCTTTTTCATGAAACATCTCTGTCATAGGGATTCCATCTCTTGAGCTCTTGATAATATCTTCTCAAAGCCTGTATACTGTTACAGCAGAAAAGTGGTGCTAGTCACTACATTTATAATAACACATAGATAAATAAAACAATTAGATGAGGCTACTTTTTAGTGGGTGGCAGTAAGGAAAAGGAAGATATTTCATAAGATTACCTGCTGAGTACTGCTGGAAGGCGATACATCCACGATTAGTTGGGTCTAGCATGCCAAAAACAGACTGGATGTTGGAATCATCGAACAGACAGGGGTAGTCCAATCTTGTAATTTTTGACTTTTGAAGTTTTTCTAAAACATCTATCATGAACTTTTTTGGTTCATCTGGAATATAAAGAGAATTTTTTTTCAATTATTAATTAACTAACTTTATTTTCTTTTTACATGTACAAGTCAATCATACCCGGTTATATCTCACTACCACATGTCCAAGTCGATTATACCCGGTAATATCTCACTACCACATGTACAAGTCGATCATCCCCGGTTATATCTCCCTACCACATGTCCAAGTCGATCATCCCCGGTTATATCTCACTACCACATGTCCAAGTAGATCATACCCGGTAATATCTCACTACCACATGTACAAGGCGATCATACCCGGTTATATCTCACTACCACATTTTGTAGGCTACCCAAAGTGGTACACAGCCAGAAAATTGTTTGAAATTACTTAATATTTAAATTTGTTGGTATATTGATAAAGATATTTATCAGTATTTCCACCCAATACTACCACATGTACAAGTTGATCATTCCCGGTTATATCTCACTACCACATGTACAAGTCGATCATACCCGGTAATATCTCACTTCCACATGTACAAGTCGATCATACCCGGTAATATCACCCTACCACATGTCCAAGTCGATCATATCCGGTAATATCTCACTACCACATGTACAAGTCGATCATACCCGGTTAGATCACACTACTACATGTCCAAGTCGATCATACCCGATAATATCACATTACCACATGGCCAAGTCGATCATACCCGGTAATATTACACTACTACATGTCCAAGTCGATCATACCCGGAAAAATCACACTACCACATGTCCAAGTCGAGCGTACCCGGTTATATCACACTACCACATTTCCAAGTCAATCATACCCGGTTATATCTCACTACTACATGTCCAAGTCGATCATACCCGATAATATCACACTACCACATGTCCAAGCCGATCATACCCGGTAATATCACACTAGCACATGTCCAAGTCGATCATACCCGTTAATATCACACTACCACATGTCCAAGCCGATCATACCCGGTAATATCACACTTCCACATGTCCAAGTCGATCATACCCGATAATATCACACTACCACATGTCCAAGTTGTTCATACCCGGTTATATCTCACTACCCCATGTCCAAGTCGATCATACCCGGTGATATCACACTACCACATGTCCAAGTTGATCATACCCGGTAATATCACACTATCACATGTACAAGTCGATCATACCCGGTAATATCATACAACCACATGTCCAAGTCGATCATCCCCGGTAATATCACCCTACCACATGTCCAAGTCGATCATCCCCGGTAATGTCTCACTGCCACATGTCCAAGTCGATCATCCCCGGTTATATCACACTACTACATGTCCAAGGCGATCATACCCGGTAATATCACACTTTTTCAATTATTGATTAACTAACTTTATTTTCTTTTTACATGTACAAGTCAATCATACCCGATTATATCTCACTACCACATGTCCAAGCAGATCATACCCGGTTATATCTCACTACTACATGTCCAAGTCGATCATACCCGATAATATCACACTACCACATGTCCAAGTTGTTCATACCCGGTTATATCTCACTACCACGTGTCCAAGTCGATCATACCCGGTTATGTCTCACTACCACATGTCCAAGTCGATTATACCCGGTAATATCTCACTACCACATGTACAAGGCGATCATACCCGGTTATATCTCACTACCTCATGTCCAAGTCGATCATACCCGGTGATATCACACTACCACATGTCCAAGTCGAGGATACCCGGTTATATCACACTACCACATTTCCAAGTCAATCATACCCGGTTATATCACACGACTACATGTCCAAGTCGATCATTCCCGGTTATATCTCACTACCACATGTCCAAGTAGATCATACCCGGTAATATCTCACTACCACATGTACAAGGCGATCATACCCGGTTATATCTCACTATCACATGTACAAGTCGATCATACCCGGTAATATCACACTTTTTCAATTATTGATTAACTAACTTTATTTTCTTTTTACATGTCCAAGTCAATCATACCCGGTTATATCACACGACTACATGTCCAAGTCGATCATTCCCGGTAATATCACACTACCACATGTCCAGGTCGATCATACCCGGTAATATCACACAACCACATGTCCACGTCGATCATACCCGGTTATATCTCACTGCCACATGTCCAAGTCGATCATACCCGATAATATCACATTACCACATGGCCAAGTCGATCATACCCGGTAATATTACACTACTACATGTCCAAGTCGATCATACCCGATAATATCACATTACCACATGGCCAAGTCGATCATACCCGGTAATATTACACTACTACATGTCCAAGTCGATCATACCCGGTTAGATCTCACTACCACATGTCCAAGTCGGTCATACCCGGTAATATCACACTACCACGTGTCCAAGTCGATCATACCCGGTTATATCTCGCTACCACATGTCCAAGTCGATCATATCCGGTTATATCTCACTACCACATGTCCCAGTCGATCATCCCCGGTTATATCTCCCTACCACATGTCCAAGTCGATCATAACCGGTGATATCTCACTACCACATTTTGTAGGCTACCCAAAGTGGTACACAGCCAGAAAATTGTTTGAAATTACTTAATATTTAAATTTGTTGGTATATTCACATGTACAAGTCGATCATCCCCGGTAATAGCTCACTACCACATGTCCAAGTCGATCATACCCGGTTATATCTCACTACCACATTTTGTAGGCTACCCAAAGTGGTACACAGCCAGAAAATTGTTTGAAATTACTTAATATTTAAATTTGTTGGTATATTGATAAAGATATTTATCAGTATTTCCACCCAATGGTTTTGTTTTCAGCAATATTTTAAGAGTGTAGGATGACTTTAAAGGAAACATGCCAGAAAGGCAGAAAAAAACAAGGTAAATCGACAACATTTTGAAAGATTTTGGAGTGGGTAAATATAGAAATGTTTACATGTTGCTTTCTAACAGTAACAGGCCTTTATAATGTAAAATCAACATATTTGTTATTCTTAAGAGACTATATATTGTATCCATGTATACATGTCAATCTATTCAAGAATTGATTTCAAATAATACAGTTGGTAAAATAATAGCCACTGACAGAACAACCATGCAGTATTAACTAAAATGAATTTTCTTACAACAATGCTTACAAGCACTGATTTAGAAGTCATTTCGGACGATTGTTTATTACGAGGACGAAGTGACCATATCCTTTATGTCGACAGTTAAGATGGAAATAAATCCCTAGAACCATAAATGTCGTTGTTTAATTGAAACGTTACCTGGTCTGTTGTACATGAGCTGGGATGTCAAATTGTTGAACAACTCCAGTACTCGATGGTTTTCGAGATATTGCCTAGCTTCTCCATCTCGAGTACCTACATCTCCTGCAGTCGACATTTTGGCTGTGGTTGTTGTTATGGAAACTAGCCGGAAGTTTATAATTTGAATGAATATTCAATTTATTTTTCTATAATTCTTCAAGTTCAGTGTTCTTCAATTTTTATCTTAATAATATTAAACATAAGATAACATTTTTTGAACGATTAAATTAATTTATTTCTATTTTCGGTTTATTGTTGTATCCGGGCATTTTCAAGATGGATGCCTCCATGAAACAAGTGCGCCAAATCACTTTGTGAAAATCATGTTTATTCACTAGCTCTTTTCCTGGGGCACGTCTAGAGGATATACTTTAAGTAAATGTATTTTGGACACACTCTGTTTTACATCGATTGATACGGATAAAAACACTGCTGCATTTATTTCAAATATGTTTATCGGCTTATGCTGGTTGTTAGCAGACGATTTTTTGGTGTGGAACGTGAGTAACCGTGGTCCTGTTATGTATTGTTAAAGTGTATATTTGGACTCAAATTAAGGTGTGACTTTTATAGAAGTAAATTGGAACAATGTCTTATCCAGTAGACCACAAAACAGTTTTTGTATTGGATCGCAGTCCATTGTTTGCTTCGTCTTGCAACCAAAGCATTGAATATGATGTTTTGTCGAAAACAAGAACTCCCGGAATTATACCAGCTGCGCCCATCATGAAATCTTTATGGACATGCAACGTGGAAGTTATGGCAGAATATATGCGGATCGTCTACGATATATTTCCGTCCAAAAAATTGGTAAATGCATTATTGTACTTAGTGGCAAGCTTGCTTTTCCAGTGATGCAGTATAACCCGGGGACCCGTTGAGCATGGTCAGTAGTTGGATGGGATCAAGTCGTTCCGGCCTCACCCTGGTCCGGCCCCCTAGTAGTTCCGTCCCCTACCCGGTCCGTCCTTAGTAGTTCCGGCCCCCTAGTAGTTCCGGCCCCTTAGTCATTCCGGCCTCTATATAATCTCTATATGATCAAAAGACCAGAAAAACATGATACATTATGTTCATTATGTAATATTTAATGCAATCAACAATAACAACATATATTTAATAAATAGCAAATAATAGATTATGACATATGTTCACATATTATTACACATTTGCATCTTCACACTTGGAAGATCGACAAAGATCGATTTCAACAAGATGTGATGACAAAAAAAATCAACGTCTGTCGATCATCAAATAAAAGTAAAAACAACGTCGGAAGACTATAGCTATATAGCAATGGTGTTTACACAGCGTTTTCTAGAAGCCATACAGTTTCCAACGCACGAGGTAATAAGATAAACAAAAGACAGTGATTGTAATGTGTCTTAAATAGCAATCTTGCTCCGTATGTTTACACAGGTGTATTTTGTTTTAGACAACATGTAAAATGAAACGACAACAAATGTAAAACAAAAAAAAATAACATGAATTATCCATTATATAAATAAATTTAACTTAAAATTTAATTCCAAATAAACATAATAATATAATATATGAGGCCGGAACGACTAAGTATACGGGACCGGGAAGGGGCCGAAACTACTAAGGTCGGAACGACTAGGGACGGAACGACTTGGGGGCCGGAACGACTTGTATTCAGTTGGATGGGTGACTGCCCGCACGTTACTTTTGGTGGCAGCGTATATACATAGTGACTCTGTGTGATCATATAAGGCCAGTTTCCTGTGGTTAGGAGAGGTGCATTGATACACAGAGAGGACCTACGGGAGGCCCCAGGCCAAGTCTAGGGACGAGACTCCTTAAGGAACTTGAGGGGAAAATACTGCCTTACTGACAAGCTAGCTTTTCCAGTGATGTGGTATAACCTGGGGACCCGCTCACTAGTTCAGCAACGTCGAGCGTGGTCAGTAGTTGGATGCATGGGTGACCGCCCGCACGTTACAGTAATCATCCCTTTAGCTCAATTCTGGTAGAACGACTGACTTGGGAGTTGCACACTTCTCTCTTTGCTGTTATATTACAATGCTGTACCCGAACAGCATGGAATTTGTCAATCACTTGAAAGCAGATAGCTTTTAAGCAACTTTTCATAGCTCACAGATCCTGGGTTCAAATTTGGTCTGGTAATGCTTTTTTCTCTCCTGTTACAGTACCAAAGAAACTTAACGAGGGGAAGAAAATCATGAGACCAATTTTATTTTTAGGGTGTCAAATCATAGACCTAAATTAACGGGACCGCCGACTCCATGACGTCACGCTCTAGAATCAACCAAGGAGCTTCCCGATGTTCGCAGCGCCCCCACCGGGTGGTATAGGAAGCAACTTCCGGTTTGCTCCAGGGGTAAAACAATGGGTGGCAAACACTGTTGTGTGGTCGGTTGTACCAACTCCAGTAAGAAAACAGGACAGGGTACTAATTACTTTGGCTTTCCTAAAGATGCAGAATGGCGGTCAACATTGATAGCAGCCGTAAATCGGTGTGATTCGGGGTTTAACTCTGACAGCATGCACATTTGTTCGGCCCATTTTGAGCCAAGTTGCCTTCTATTACATGATTGAAAAAGTCTAGGTTTAATATCAAAATATGATTTGTTTAATTGTTGATGAATAACTTAGGATTATAAAAATAAAATACAATGATTGTTTTTTTCTTTTAATATTTTATAATTTTATAATATTTAAATACCGCGCATCCAGCCGTGCACTGTTATGACGCGTCCTCAGGTATTTTTATACAGGTAGCAATATCGGAATCTAAGAATAGATAATTGTAAACAGACCACATATTTGGTATTTCGGCATTATTTGTTGGTGTTTAAGCACTTGACATGATTACTATTGCCAGTTGGAGGGTAAAACAATTCATAAATTTCATCAAAAATAGTCTTACCTACAATGCGTAGCTGTACTGTACACGTGTACAGGGATTTGTTGACATGCTTCGATAAAAGTATGTCGCACTACATAATAAAGAAATTATTACTAACAAAACTGATAAATCAATAGGTATGTTATTAAAATGAAAACAAAATGTTCCATCGATTTAAAAAAAAACCACTCTTGCCTTATTAAGGAAAATGATCACATGCCTAAATATTTAAAAAAAAAAATAACTGAAGGAGGATTCGAACCTGCACCGTTTATTTTCTAGTCGCAAGTAAACTGCGTTACACATTCGGCTACATATAACATATAGATATTGGCAATTACAAACTTATTTAACCCGAGAAACACCGGTCGCAGTTCAGAGAAACTTGATCACACCTGTTTTTCATTATTTTGAGCACTTT